AAGGATCATTGCCTAATCCACTGTCAAAACTATGTTTCTTTATATTTGATTCTAAAATATTTTATATTTTTAGCGCTTATGTTTATGCTCTTGATTCAGTTTTTGTATGTTGTATTAACTAAGGATATAACTTCATTCTTTTCCACGTGGACATCTGATTTTCTAAGATCTATCAGTTGAAAATACGACATTTCCTCCAAAGAATGGTCTTCAGTGCTGCTCAAAACTGACTTGCCATGTGTATGAGGGATTATTTCTGCAATCTGTATACCACCCCATTGGTACAGGTCTTAGTTAGGGTTTCTGCTGCTGGGACAAAACACAATGACCAAAAAAGAAAGTTGGGGAGGAAAGGGTTTATCAGGCTTACACATCAGCATTGCTGTTCATCACCAAAGGAAGTCAGGACAGAACTCAAGGAGGGCAGGATCCTGGAGGCAGAAGCTGATGCAGAGGTCATGGAGGGGTGCTGCTTACTGGCTTGCTCAGCCTGCTTTCTTATAGAACCCAGGACCACTAGCCCAGGGGTGGCACCAATAACCATGGGCTGGGCCCTCCTCCACTGATCACTAATTAAGAAAATGCCTTATAGCATGGATCTCAAGGAGGCATTTCCTCAGCTGAGGCTCCTTTCTCTGATGACTCTCGATTGTGTCAAATTGACACAGAAAACCAGCCAGTACAGTTTTTACATTTGTGTTTAACCTAGTGTTCTACAACCTTACTGTTTTCTAGGTTTTGAAGTGAAGAACCATGAAGCTGCAGCGGTGCTCCTGTTTTTCAGGATTGTTTTGAATATTTGGATTTCTTTATAGTTTCCTATAAATTTTAGAGTGGATTTTCTATTTTGGCAGGAAGCGTGATTGAGAGTTTGATAGGAACTGTATGGAGTTTTGTGACTGCTTTGAGTAGTTTTGACATCTTATCTATGAATGTGAAATGTGTTTCTTTTTATGCTTTTTCATTTGGAAATACTTTGTAGTTTCTCTTGTATAAATTTATTTTTTAACCTCCTTGGTTAAATTAATTCCTAAGTATTTCATTCTTTTTGATGCCATGGTTTAGTAAAGGTTGCCTGAGGATTCAGAAAGCAAAGTCAGCCACAAGTCACAGAAGGCATGCACATACCTTTAGTCCCAGCAGCCAGATTCTAGGAGGTGGCGGTACACATCTTTAATCCTAGGACTAAGGATTAAGAGGTAGATGAATCTCTGTGAGTCCAAGGTCGCAGATCTACAAAAGATTGATCCAGTCCCAAAGAAAAACAGCTCACACAAAGATGATCTCAGTACCTGGGATCACATGCCTTTAATCCCAGCATTGGGGAGGTATATAAGACAGGAGCAAGGTTGAGAATAGGGCCGGGTAACACAAATAAATAAATGAATGATCCAGAGACTGATATTGAGGCTCAATCTTCAAACTGAGTATCAGAAAAGCAAAGCAGCTGGCCACTAGCTTCTTACTCTACCTCAGGCTGAATGTGCTGATCCTGTCTCCACGAGCTCTCCTCACTGTGGCTGGAGAACGAATGCCTCTCTGAGACCTTGTTTCTGTCCTATATACTTTCCTAATGTTGGAATTAAAGGTGTGAGCTATCATTCTCTTTTAGATGGATTCACTCTTGTGTAGATCTGGGTGACCTTGGACCCACAGAGATAGATCCATCTACCTCTTAATCCCGAGTCCTAGGATTAAAGGTGTGTACTACCACCTCCTAGCTTCTGGCTGCTGGGATTAAAGGTGTGTTCCTGGCTTCTATGACTTGCGAATGATTTTGCTTTCTGAATCCTCGGGCAAGCTTTAATAAATCATAAATAATGTATCACCACAGGTACGCCCAACCTCTGTTAGAGGTAAGAGCTCTCTGGTAGCTTGGCTGCTTTGCTTCTCTGACCTTCAGCTTGAACCCCAATATCTGTCTCTGGATCTTTTGTTTTATCATGCAACAGTTTTCATAATTTTGTTTCCATATTGCTCATTGTTAGTTTATATAAATGTAACTAATGTGGTGGTGTAGTTCAGTCATCCAGCACTTGCCTAGTATGTATAAAGCTGTGGATTTTCTACTCCCAACACCAAGGAAACAAAGAAATGCAACTGAGTTTTGTGTGTTTTGTTTTCTGCTATTTTTCTAAACTCACGTATTAGTCTAGCTTTCTTTAGGTGTGGAATCTTTAAGGGTTCCTACATATCCCATGAAAAGAGATGATTTTTATGTCATACTCTGTTACTTGATGCTCTTACTCTGGCTGGAACTTACAGTACTGTTTTGAGTAGATGTGGCAGAGGTGGGCATCCTTGCCTTGCTCCTGATCTTAGAGGAAAGAATTCACCTTTGCCATTGAGTGTGCATGTATACTGTGGGCTTTTTTTGCAAGGCTTTTTATTATATCAAGTTAGTCTGTTTTAATAATGCAGTATTTTTAATAGTTCTTTGAGAATTTCATACACTCATATGATGCATTTTGGTCAGATTCACCCTCATTCCTCCCCATAACTCTTTCCAGTTTATGTAGTTAAAAGTTTTTACATGTCACTGATGTCCTCAGAGACACATGGCTCAGTTTCATTTATCATCTTTTCTTTCTTTCCTTTTTTTTTTTTTTGAGAGGATTTCACTTTGTAGTTCTGATTGTCCTGGAACTCTAAGGAATATGTATGCCTTTGCCTCCTGAGTGCTGGAATTAAAGGTGTGCAGCACCATGCCCAGCTTAAATTTTTAAATTTAGTATACACAATTGTGGGCTTCATTTGTTTCTGTTGTTTCTTCCATCCCATAATTTTTCCTATTCCTTCACTCTCCCTTGATCACACATCCTCAGTAGCCTCCATTCTGCTTTTGGGACACATATTTCTGGTTGCACACTCTTTCCAAGACCTCTTTTTACTCTTACTAGTTTCATAGCCTATACCTGTAATCACCCCTGCCTGCCATACAAGTATAATAGACATTACAGGCTAGGACAGTTGTCTCAACCTGGGGTTGAATGACCTTTTCCCAGGGATCCCCTATGACCATCAGAAAACACAGATATTTACATTACAATTCACAAAAGTAGAAAATTATAGTTATGAAGTAGCAGTGAAAGTAATTTTATGATTGGGGTTGCTATAACTGAGGAACTGTACTAAAGAGTCACAGTACTAGGAAGGTTAAGAACCACCGGGCTAGGACCTGTACAGATAGACATGTGGTTTTTGTTGTTATTATTGTTGTTTTGTCTTTTTGAGTAATTAATATAAGACTTTCCAGATCCATCCATTTCATTGAAATTTTCATATTTTTATTTTTAATTACAGCTGAATACAATTACATTATGTGTATATGTATCACATTTTCCTTATCTACTCATGGGCATTTAGGCTGATTTCATTTCCTCTTCTATTGTGAATAGTGTAACAATAAACACGGATATGCAAGTATCTGTATAGTCGGAGAGACTCATTTTGATATATGTCCAGGAGTGGTATAGCTGGATCATATGGAAGTCTGTTTTTTGTTTTGTTTTGTTTTGTTGGTTTTTATGAGACAGGGTTTCTCTGTATTGTTTTGGAGGCTGTCGGTCCAGCCTAGCCTCGAACTCACAGAGATCCGCCTGCCTCTGCCTCCCGAGTGCTGGGATTAAAGGCGTGCGCCACCACCGCCCGGCTTATTCAGAGATGGTATGTTGAATTTTTTTCTTTTGAATGAGTCATAATTGCCTATTTCTTTGTATGTTTTGTGACTTCTTGTTGCACAATAGACAGTTGAATCTAAAAATGTGGTGATTCTGGAAATCAGGTGTCCCCTTCCCCACATTTCTTTCCTAGTGGGGTGTGGTTGGCAAGGTCTCTCTGTAGTTTAGGCTGGCCTGGAACTAATGATGTAGGCCAGACTAACCTCAAACTCATTGACACCCTCCTGCCTCAGCTTCCCTCAGTGTTGGGATTATAAACCTATAAGGAAGAAGGGTAAGTCCCCCACCCAGAAATGAGTCTGATGAGCACAATGTATGAACTTAGGCTTTCTTGCATCTTTTCTGAGGTCAACCTTTCCCAGGATATGGGCAATCACTTTTCAACATTCCTAACCTAAATAGTTGCTTTTGAGTCTAGTTTCCAAAAGGAGAAAAAAGGGAAAGAGGGATGGAAGAGGGTGCTGGCCCTTTAAATCTAAGAAGTCACTTCAGTTGGATGGGGTAGTAGCTTTCAGTGATAGGGGTACAAGGATGATTTCCCGCTTCTGTATTTGCACTTCTGTGGTTAGAAGCAGCAATCTCTGCTGAGTACAGACAGACCTTTGATGTTCAGGATGATTTGCTTTTCCATCTGCTGTGGCTCCACAGGCTCCATCCATGCCAGCTGCTCTGGATGAAGGTTCAGTTGCTGCACCAGGCTGAGTGGGCTGCTGGCATGAAAGCTGAACTTGTCAAAGTTAAGATAAATTGACTGTACAGGCATTCCTCTTTGGGGATTCCCGAGGAGTTATAAGAAGCCAGAGTCCAGCAGAGCAGTCCTTCTCTAGGCAGGAGGCAGGTTCCTGAGCCGCTTCCCCTGACTCCTGGAATCCCTGCAACAATCTGTTTTTCATGGAGGCTATTCTGTAAGCGTTGTGTAAGCCAGTTTACATTGTCATGGTAACCACAGAACCTTGCATTTGATAGCTGCAAAGCCTTGCAATCCTTCCCTAGTATATACCCCTACCCCACTTTATCCAAAATTAATTATTTAGGGGACAGTACTTCTATTTTCTGAGCTAACCATTTCATTTCTCTTATTCTGCTTCCTAATTTGCCTGTGGTCATTTTTGTTGACTCTTTCATAAATGGAAGGACATCTATGTGAGGTCCACTGTGGTCATGAAGTTAGGGATTATGCTGGAGTCACAGTCCCCCATCTTCCCCCGCTTTGAAGGATCCATTGCAAGTAAAATATTGAGGGTTAAATCTCTTTCTGTGGCCTGGAGAAACAGGAGAAAAGGTCAGGTGTGGAGAGGGGAGATACTGATTAAACCAAGATTGACATTGTTAAGAAATTTATTTGCAATTCTTTTTTGCGTTTTTGTTTGTTTTTTAAATAACATCATTCCTTAGATAAAAATGCAATCTTACAGGAATATACAGTAGCGTCTCACACAGAGATGGACCCTGAAGCTCTCCTTGAAGGGTTTCCCTCCTAAATTCCCTGGCCTTGCTCGAGGGGGAGAAGGCGCAGCAGGCAGGGCCTTTGACAACGAGATTATTTGATGATTACAAACTGTACAACAATATTTACAACAGTCAGACTGTGGTGTCGTAGAGCCTGGAGGGGCAGGTGTGGGATGTGCAGGTGTATATGAGTGACACAGAAGCCTGTTCATCTCTCCATGCCTCTCTGGGAACAGCATGGCACATGACACAGGTTTTCTCGGGGACATAAAAGTGGACTGAGTAGACACATGGAGAGGTGGGGGTGACATCAGCTTTATGTGGACCCTTTACATGGAGGGAAGTTTTCCTTAGCAACACTGGCAGATTAAAGTAGAACGGTAGTGTTATGAGAGAGGCCGACATTGCAGCGTTGACTCCTGGGGATCTACCACCCCATTTCTCAACGACTTCTTTCCCCCACAGGCTGTTCTTAACCGCTGTCATCACAGATGTGTGCAACCCAGCTGTTCCCCTGCCATTCAGGCTTTGTTCAGGGCAGTGAGTGAGAAACACGTGTCCAAGCAGGGCAGGGCAGATGGGTGCATGGTCTGGCAGAGAGGTGGATTTCAAGTCTAGGGGATGGGACGCAGATGTGGAAATGTGCTGTGCGGAGAACAGAAAGGTGCCCATAGCTCGTGGGTCGCTGTGACGCCTTCTAAAGCCCTCTGCAGGGACTGCTTGCTTACAAATCACCTGTCCTCAATTCCAGAGAGTTCTCTCCCGCTTTTACCTTTGGTGTAGTTCTCCGTGCTGGGCAGTCTTAGGAGGCAGAGGCTGTTTCAAAATAAAAGCTAACGTGCTTGTCCAGCATGCACAAGGAAGGCCCTTGGTTCAACCCCCAGTACCGTCACACTGCTCCCCAAAAATGGAAAATGGAATCCCCCTCTGATTCCCTATAGTCTCTGTCTCCCCAAACTGTCTGTGAAGTGACCCTGCTGAGTGGTGCACGAGGGAAATTTTAGGTGGCAAATTTGCAATAATTGAGTCATTTATGCTGGAGTGAGTGGCATGTCATCTGTTCTGTAATCTTTATACAACAAATCACTTAGATTCTGGGAAACTGGGGTGAATAGGATTTCCCATGGGGATGAGTGGTTATATCTCCAAAGCAGTGAGCTTCTGAGACAGTTTGGCTCTGGTGATACGACATTTCACATTTTCATTGTATTTTTCCTGGCCTGTCTTCCTTAAAGCTAGTAGAGACCTAAGAGAAACGCAACAGGAAAATCTCAGTGCAGACTTTACTCTCAGATTTGAATGATTTGCAATGCTTGATGTATCCAGCTGCGTTCTGCAACTCCCTTCCAGAGATATGTTAGCAGGTCTTCCTCACATAACCAGGAAGATCAGGTTTTTATCGTATATTATATGGAACCAAACCTCTTAAGATGGTTGGGGGAAAAGGGCGGGTTTAAGAGTGGTAGTAACATTCACTGTAGATAAATAAAATTGTCACCATTTTCACCCATGGAAATTGTTCTAGCTTCTTCCATATGTTCCTCTTCAAAGGTGTTCAGTGTTTTTTCATTATAATAAGACATCATCTACAAATGTGCTGGGTCACAGCCATAGCTGTTCTGGGACACAGAGTCACAAACTGAACAGGCTGAACATACCTACTACGGTCCTCCTTTTATGTGGGAAAAAAAATCACAATGTGGCCATCACCTCAGCACTTGTGCCTTAGGTGTGTGTGTGTGTGTGTGTGTGTGTGTGTGTGTGTGTGTGTGTGTACTGCCTCCCTAAGGATGTGAAGATATGGCATAAAAAAACACTGTTAAGAATCTGCAAATGGTTTCTTTCACCTTTGTGTTCCATTCACTGGGTTTGCAGAGGAGGGAAAGGGGAAGAGGAAGAAAAGAAGGAGGAGGAGCAGGAGGAGGAGGAGGAAGAGAAAGAGTGAAATGCTAAAGGCAGGAAGGTACCTGTCACTGACATCATAGGAAGGGTGCTTTTCCCCTCATAGCCTTCCAGAACGCCTCTCCCCACGTCAGCTGCTGTAGAACATGGACTTTGGTGAGGGAACCCAAGTTCCCCCAATGACTTTCCCATCAGCAAATTCTTTGGCCAGATGCGGTGGAGGGGCCTCACTTGTCCAGGTAAGGACCAGCCACATTTCTCTAGCTAGGTTGATTTAGCTGGAAAAACACCTAGGATAGGAATTTATTTTTCACAAAGCAGATTATGGCGCCATCAGCCTTTGCTAAGGGTGGACCACACAGAAGCTGCTTTCCATACGATGACACAGATAGGGTCAGGACATGCCCTTTCCTCATCCTACACCCTCTAGTTCTCTCTGTGCTGACACCTGCTTCAGAGGCACGGCTTTGCTGAAGAACAGAGTCAATCAGGGCACTTACAGCAAGTTTTGGCTTCCCTGAGCTCTGAGTAGCTCTTCTGAAAGCCAGACAATCCTTCCTCAGGTCCTAGCTAAATTGTTTCTAGCTACCGAGTGAGGGCATTTCTGTCACTCAAGGTCTCAGGGTTGAGGGGCCATCCTTCCCTGCTTGACAACATTTGAAATGTGGTATGAGAAGACTAAAAGCCCTGATGACCAGATGTGACTCCATGCTTGACCTCGATTCTTGCTCTCTTGGTCTGCTCTCGTGAGCAATGGAGTGTGTCTCCTGGCCTCTGTACAACAGACACTTTCCTTCTACTGACTTCAAGGGTTCTCAGAAATGTGTTGATTTGGGCAAAGGAAGGACTGCCTGTTGTTAGGGTCTCTGGAGCTCTGGATGGCTGAGAACTGTGAGAAAGAAACAGACCTTCTCTTCATAGTACCCAAAATTTTAACCAGAGTACCAGAGGGAGGTAAAAGGCAGACTCTCAGATTCCTAGACAGGCTAAGAAAGATGGGAACCATGATTAGCAGGGAAGAGATTTACAAATCAAACAAGGACTAGGAAAGTATCTCTCTTTTAACTTGAAGATATGAAGAACCTGAAGATATGAAGAACCTTCTAGGACCAGGCAGAAAGGAACCAATTGGACTTTGTATAATATGGCCTCACACATGAAAAGATTGGAAATAAAAGAGAAAGTTAGTCATAGGACAGATGTTAAGTACATGGCCTATGCTCCTTCATGTCTCTTTGGTCCCCAGCTGCAGCCTAATTTCCCTGCTATGCAGGGACTCTCAGGCTTACAGAAGGTCTGATAATCGTTCAAAACAGTCACTGGGAAAATTCCATGTTGGCTGGAGAGCAGATAGTCTGGTGTGGATGTTCACTGGTTTTCCTACACACTGTTCCCCTCTGTCCTGGTGACAGGCAGCATATGCCAAATCAGGTGGCCATGAAGCCAAGTGTGAAAGACCCACTGACCACTGAACCTCCCTCCCTTCCTTCTGGCAACAAAGGGCAAGGGGCCCATCATCCCTGATGATGCCATTCTTGTAGGGTGCAGTGTATGAGTGAACGGCTACTCTGGCTTTCTTGGCCATCAAGGAGAAGGCTGCCTGGGGGTATGACTGGTATAGGGGGGTTCGGGGAACTACACTGGACAGAGTCCTGGCAGGAGCTTGGCCTGTAGCTTATGTCATTGTTCAGTAGAATCTGACAGTGCAGATTTCCAAAGGAAATGCAAGGCAGCACGAGGAGACTGAGCATGCAGAGTATGCATGTTTGTGTGTAGTAGCACGCTTCCCTAGGGTCAGATGCGTGAAGGAACCACACAGCCAATCGGAGGGCTCCCCTCTCCATCGTCACTACAGTCATATCAACACAGTCGTAGAACTTTGTGGAAACAAGTCAAAGGTTGCCATCTACTCTACATATCTAGAAGCTGTCACTGGTACTGCAAAGGGTGCATAAACACCAGGTCAATGGCACAGGGAAATCCAAAGGGAAAGCTGTTTCTAGACTCTGGTTAACCTGTGCACACTGGGCACCAATCTCTGCATTTTCATGAAACAGACCATGAGAGCAGATTCATCTTCGCTGAAGAACACCCTTGCTGGAATTTCTAGCAGATTCTCACATAATCTCCCCAAAAGACTGTTAGGACAGTGGGATGGGAAGATATTCCGTACCTACGTAAAATCTGGGTGAATGGTTGAGTCTCATTTTCCTTAGCCCTTCCTTTTCAACCATTCCTGTTAAGACGCAACTGAAGGACCTGGTGCTGATTGTAAGGGTTGCTGAAGGCAGACACAGAGGAGCCTGAGTAAAAGCCTCACACAGCCTGTTCCTTTCATCCCTATGAGATCCTGATGCCCCTGCCTCTTCTCCCCTTCCTGCTGTGGAAGCAGAGGATGAGTAGCTTCTAGAGGGACCGCACTTCCATCCTGTCCCCTTTCTGCAGGCATGGCTACGGCTGTCTGCGTTTGGGTAGACCATGTGTCAAAGCTGAATCTGTCCTACCACTGGCCCAGTCTGGAAGTCACCTCATCCTCTCAGTTGGGACACGTGCTGTGGGAGTGCTTCAGAAAGCCAGTCACCTCAACAGGAGCATCCCGGACAAGTATTCACAGAGAGGGCGGAAGGCAGCAAGTGAGGATCTGGGTGAAACATGCCCTGATCTTGCAAAGCAAGATGTAGCATGGACTGTCTTACCACCTGGTTTTGGAAAGATATTGAGGGAAATGGAAACAAAACACAGGACATGCAAAATGGTAACCCCAGACCTGCCAGTGGAGAGCAGAGTGAGGAGTGACATCAGGGATACCTTTGTTAACTTTGCAAACGAAAGAAAACCATCTCCTCCCCAACCACATGTAGAAACAGCACTTACGAGTTCAAAGGTAAAGCTTGTCACACTCCAAATACAAAATGATTTACTTTACATGCAGCAAAATATACAAGAAGTGAATTTTAAAACAAACTTAAGTCATTATATTTGCTTGGCACAATTGCAATTCAGTTTTTAAAAAAATATTTGAAAAATACTGAAACTGACCTGAATTCAAGTATAACAGTTTCTTCAACAGAAACATTATCAATGCAATAAAACATTACACAGAATATATCGAAGCAAAATGTCTTCTTGAGTTTTTCCCTTAAATTTTGTGTTTTTTTAAAATAGAATTTTAATGCTGACACAACTCACAATCGTATTTTAAAATGGATATTATTGCATTGCTTTTGCATATCTCGTGGGACAGGAAATGCAGTTACCGAGTCTCGTTTCAGAAGCAGAAGCAGAGACAGTGATTTGTTTTTGCTTTCGAACAGCCCCAGATTCAGAGCTCCCTGCAGTCAAACCGGAATGGGGATCTACGGACTTTTGTGCAGGGGTGGAGGTGTGGGGGGTTAATGGGGTGCTCACGCACCATGTGGGTGCACACACGCACAGACAACCCACTATGGACACTCGTGTGACACACAGATGATCATACATCCTCTCTCTTGAAACCTATCCATACGCCCAGCTTAGAACGGAGCCCAGCTCAACGACCCAGGCGTGCAATAGCTTATCTAACTGCCTGTTACCTGCAGATTGTGACGCTCAACCCAACCAGAAAGAAAGGCGGAAAAAGGTGCTGTTACTTAAGGAAATTTCGACAAGTTACTGGGCATACGCAGAGCAGGTAAACCTGCCTGTGGTGATATTGAGCCCTCGCTCCATGGGTGGAAAAGGAGGGGTGGGGGAGAAAACCGCACCATTTAAAGAATATAATAAAAACCAAATCCGACTTAAATAACGCAAATGTGGAAACAGTGAGGCTGCACAACTGTAAACGCTCTTCTTCCTCCCTTCCACGTGGGAAAGCACAGCAAATAAAAAAAATAAAGAAACCAAACCCCAGAAAACCGCAACATGCTAACAAGGACCATCAAACCATGAAACCAAGATTACTAGGCAGCAGCCTGCGCCCCCTGGCCTGGCTGGCTGAGGGCGGGTGGCGTGGTCTGCACTGGCTCTAGCCACCTGCACCTCAGCTCCTGCAGGGGAGGGGTCCCTGAAGGGACCAGGCCTGCACTGCTGGGAACCTTGCAGCCACCTCCCCAGCCCCTGCACGGGGCGCTGGCCCACTCCTGCCACAGATCCCTGGGTCCCTGCTCCATTGAGACGGCCAGGCTCAGACAGAACATGTGCAAATGACTGTTTATACAAGCAAGGGGAAAACACCCTTTTGCTTAGGGGGGTGGGGTCCTTTGGGCGGTGCTGCCGCGGGAAGGTGCTGGAGTCCTGCACCATGGCCTTGGCCTTCTCCCCTGAAAAGCCGACTCCGCACACCGCCCAGCTCTGAGGCTTGTCCTGACAGCAGTGAATGAAGACGCTGTTCCGGTTACCTCCAGGTCACGAGAACAGTGAGGCACTTCTGAAACGAACCCATTAGGAACATTGAAACGAATAAAAAACACCCGCGTCTCGCCAGCCCTGTGGACTACAGGTTGCTGACGTAGGCCCTGCTGTCCGGGAGCGCCTCCTCGCTCCGGCCTCGCCCCAGGTCATATGCGCAGCTCTCGTCCTCTGGGACCACAGCCCTGTCCTGCCCCGGGTCCCTGCAGTTCACAAAAGGTAAGAGGGTGCCGTTGGGGCTCTGCTGGGCGCCCCCACTGAGGATGTTGTCTGCCGCATTCTCCATCTCCTCTATTGTCATGTCACAGGCGTCAGCCAGCTCCTGGGTGGTGACCTCGATGAATTTGGGATCTTGAGCAAACTGTCCCAGTCCTTCTGAAATCAAGACCTGGAAAGGCGGGGCAAGAAGACAGAAGAGGGGCGTGGTCACTGGAGTTCAAAGTTCCCTAAGGATGAAGTCGCAGGCTGCTGCAAAGTAGAGCGTCTGTGTGTACATAACATGTGCTTGTGGGTATGTGTGTATGGATGCATGCATGTGTGAATGTGTATAAAAGTGTGTATGTGTGTGGGGTGTGTCTGCATGTTTGTGTGTCTGTATTTGTGTGCTAAGAGGGTCACTCACAGGAGAGTAGAGATGGGGTGTGGACCAAATGAAGTGGGCATAAACAGATCAGAGGACGGTTCAAACAATATCCTATCACCAAATGAGGAGGAACTTGCAGAGGGGCTGTGGAACCTGCTCTGCTTCTCCGCGGGTAGGTCTTAGCCTGCCTCCTTTCCTTTTCTCCCCTGTGGCCCCCAAGCCATCTTTCATATTGTCCTTTCCAAGAAGCCTTCGCTTTCATATGGTGTTAACCACCGCCCCCACCCCTGGTCAGCTGCCTGTAGCTCCAGGGTTCCTTGTGTAGCATGCATGCCCTGCTTTTGTTTGGGAGGGCTGCAGGTGACCATCTTGTGTCCGCCCTCCTGCTGGCTGCTTTAGTGACTAGCTGAAGGACAATTACTAAGTCTCTGAGGGAAGGGGTAGAATCCGGCAGTCAGGGTGGTCTCTTTTTCTCCCATGCCCGTTCCTCCCGCTCTGCCCGAGTCACTCTCTCCTCACCTGGCCTGACTTTTTCTACTGCTCCCCTGCCTGTTCCAGCCACAGCATGCTTACTCTTTGACCTGTTTGCCCTCACTGCTCAGTGGGAGCTCTTGAGAGCTGAAACCCATTTTCCCAAGGTCTCACTACACCTAGAGTCTCGGGACTTTTGAGATGAGCAAGCTCAAGGAAGCTTACATGGAGACTTAGTGTCTCGAGTTGGGAGGACCATGGTTATTGACTGAACTCCACTCCCAGGTCCATCTGAGCACACGACAGATGCAGCCAGATGTGTCCAGAGATGGGAACTGACCCCCTTCCAGTCCTCTCAGTGAGGAGAGCTGTGCTGGCCTCCCCTCCACCACTTCTCTTAGATGGTTTCTAAGGACCCTGCCACACTGGTTGGGGTTTGTTTCAGTTTGTCAAAGGCCCCTAAAATGTGGTGCTAGGGTTGGAATCGACGCTCCTCAGGGGCAGAGGACTTGTGACACCGAACTCTCTAAAGGAGGAACAGAAGCCAAGGAGAAAAAAACCTGCCATCTTATAGTTGGTCATTCATGCGTTGGAATCACTGGGAGCCCTGAGAACGCCAGTTTCCTCTGGAAAGCTTCCAAAGCTCCGAGGAGCTGTTCTCCTGAGCAGTGAGAGTTGAGCACACTGACCCCTGGCCCTCTGTTTGGGACGAGCCCCAGCACGTGTGAACACTGGGAGGCAGCAGGCCTTTCTTAGGGTTCCCTGGCCCACGCCTTACTAAGGGCTTTCTCCCTGTTCCTCACACCCAGCGGCTTGTAGAGTCGTGGTTGCGATTCACTGCAGGCCAGGCCTTCCTTCTGCAGTTCCCTAGTTCACACTCTTGACACCCAGTTTACGTGGGAAGGACCCAGGCTCCTCCTCTGCACCAAAGTCTCTTGTTTCCCGAGGTCTCTCCCTCCCCAGGAGCTCACATTCACATACCGCTTCCACCAGGCTGCTGGCGCTGCCATGGAACTGTCTCCCTGGAGCTCCAGCCTGGCTGGGCACGGTGAGGGAGACGGGCCGGGCTCTCCGGGCCATGCTGCCGCCCCCACTACAGGCGGTGGTCTCGTCAGCCCAGGAGCTGCAGTGGACGGATGGAAAGCTGCTGTTGAGCTTCTCGCTGGACTCGGCCCCCTCCAGCCGTAGGGTGGGGATGGGCTGTAGGGGCCTGCCCCGGCTGCCTGGAGTGACAGGGGGTGTGGGGCATGGCCTGGGGAACTTGGAAGGAGAATGGCTTCTCTGCAGGAGAGGGCTCAAACCTGCCACTGCCAATGCCTGTGGACATAAGAAAAGGAGTTACCAGGAGACTAACTTTGAAGCTAATATTTCCCAGTGAGATTTGCCTAGAGTTCTCAAAGCCCAAATCCTGTCTACCTCACTGAGACTTGGTGTAGGATTCAATAATATCCAGAAATATTTTGGTGAGCGTCTCCTTATGACGCGATGGCATTTCCCTCTGGCTTCAGGACTTTACAACTGAGTGCAGTCCTGACCATCCACTGTGAAGACTGGCTCTGCCATTCATAGTCTCTGGATTCAGTCCCTCTGGCTTTCCCATTAGAGAAGAGAGGACAAGGATGATGTGTTCCCCACAGAGCCAGGATTCGCCAGTGCCCTCTCAATGCACTGACCTATAGGGCAGGGTGAAGTCAAGTGAAATAAGGCTTTTGAGGTATAGTGTCTATTATAAAGACCGAGACAAAACCAGTATTCAGTAAGTCACCATTCAAAATTTTACAATGAAATAGGCCCTCGGATAACGCCCTGTCAGTCTCAAGCAGGGTGTTCTGACTCCTGTCTAACATTGACTGAGGAGCGATTTCCATGTCTGCCTTCTCTATCCCCAAATGCTCCAGAGAATCCTGAGGGCAATCCTGCGTTCCCACTGTCCCTGTGACTCTCGCACTGTCCACTGTCAGATGTGATGTGTTTGTTGAAAAGAATGACACTGTGTGGTGGGAACGTTCATCTCTGGGGGACAAGGAGGACAGGTGGGAGGGGGCAGAGGACACCAAGAGAAACCTCACTTTCCACCGATGGGCACAAGGGCAGATGGACAAAACCAACTTGGAGAAAGCTTTCAAAATAGAACATACAGTGTCCCTACATCCTGCTTTCCTTCCTTCTCTCCAGCTCATGGAGTACCCAGCTTCTGAGGGAAGCACAAAGCTGTGTTCATTATGTTGGAAAGTTTGTGACAATAATCCCTGTTTAGACAGTGCTTTGGCCTTTGAGTTGAAGTTGTATCAGTTTATAAAACACATTTGACATTTGTGTGCTTGTGCCCACACACATAAACACGTGGACACATGTATTAACACACAGACACACATGTACACACACACACAAACACACACACACTGAAACCACAGGTCCAAAGGAAGTGTGTAATTACACAGGTAAACTGGGGAGCTGAGGTTTAGATCCCCATTTGCTGCAGGTAAAGTATTGGCTGTAGCCTGAAGTTTCTACTTGTTCTACATTACCAAGAGTGAGTGTGACACTGGTGTTTTCACTTTCTCAGCTGTGCCATTCTAGGATAGATTTTTACCTAACTAGTCTCCCAGGTCTTGTCTCCTTGGAGACCATTCCCCTTTTTTTTTTGGACTGTTCAGCCTAGTCTTAAACTTTCCACCCTCTTGCCTTAGCCTCTTGAATGCTGTGATTGGAAGCATGGCCACCATGCCCAGCATTCCCTACTCTTAACCATGCTGCCATCATTTCTCACTGCAGTGGACAGACAGACGGCTGTGAAGTTCAGCTCCCGGGTCCCATAAACCCCAGGTCTGACTGTATCTGCTTCAGAGAGTGCAGTTTAAGGCAGTGTGGGGGAGGGATGTCTGCTGTAAGGAGCCAGCTCCGGATACCTGAAGCTTCCGGTTAGAATCACAAAAGGAACCCTCACCAGGATGTCTAGGGGACCTGCCTTCCAGTGTCACTGTGGTATCTGCAGAGCAGTGGATGGCCCTAGGCAGGGGGGCTGATTCACAGCCCTGGGAGAAGGGCAGACAGAAGGGTTTCTGGGATCTGCTGTCACCCTAGAGAGGTGTGGCCTGTGCACAGGTGTGAGTACCTGGTGATGAACCAGATGCAAGGGCAAGGCTGTCTTCTGAGAGATGTCTCCCCCTTGGTCCTTTTGTCTCTTCAGACACTCCAGGTGGAAGGAGGCCCTTCGACCTGCAAAAGCAGCCCAAGAACTCGAATCGGGACACAGGTGATGGCACCGGCCTATGACAGCTCTGCTACAGCTTAGATCCCCGTCTACCTCGGGCCATGCATTAGGTCTTAGTCCCCAGTTTGGTACAGCTGAGGGGTTGGTTTAATTATTTAAAAGGTGGAGCCTCATGGGAGCTTTCTGCCTTTGGTCATGTGTCTTGAAGGAGATCATGGGACACTGGTCTCTTTCCCTCAAAGGGCACATTTCCCATCATGATGCACTACCGTGCCACAGACCCTAGAGCTTCCAAAACTGAGCCCAAATTCATCTTTCTTGTTTTTAAGCTGATCACCTTGGGTTGTTTTATTACGGTGACAGAGCTGACTAAAAGAGGCTCGTTCTTGGGTGAGGTAGGGTTAGTGTTATTGGTCCCAAGCACATTGTATGCCTCAGCTTCTCTCCTAGGCGTCTGAGTAGCCAATGTCTAAGTTCCATTCTAACAAACTCAGTCCTTGGAGAGCTATCTTGTGGAATAACTTTTTGTATACTCTGCAGATGGGTCTTTGCCAAGGTGCCTTCTGATTGGTTTAATAAAGAGCTGAATGGCCAATAGCTAGGCAGGAAGAGCTTAGAAGGGACGTCCGGGCAGAGAGAAGAGGAGATGAATCTAGATGTTAGGGAGACTCCAAAGGAGATGGAGAAGGAGCAGGACATTCAGGAGGAGAGGCAAAAGCCACGAGCCACATGGCAGCATGTAGATGAAGAGAAATGGGTTGATTTAAGTTAAAAGAGCTAGTTAGAAACAAGCTTAAGCTAAGGCCAAGCTTTCATAATTAATAAGAAGTCTGTGTCATGATCTGGGGACTAATGGTCCAAGAAAGCTGCTACATTATCTTGTCACTCTGCATGCCTCCCAGCCCATCTCTAGGGCCTGCTTACTGAGGCTCAAACAGTTTCTCAGTTGCCCCTTGGTGTCTGACCACTGCCATCTTGGAGGTGACTACTATCTCCATCTCCAGAGCAACACGTGAGTTTACCTAGAGAGGCAGAGCGAAGGAAACTCCTCTTCGGAGACTGCTGGATCTCCCTCCTCGCCTCCTCTGGAGATGTCAGTTGTCGGTTTTCATCATCCTGGTAGGAGAGTCTGGAACAGAGAATGCTTGGCGCTTGTTCCTGAAGGCTGAGAGGCACCACCCACCAGGACAGCTGCTATTCCCAGAAAGCAGTTTCCGTTTTCCTTAGTGAAGGCAATGCCTGTCTAGGCACCTACACTATAGGTATGGGGAACAGGTATCAGGGTGTGCTAAGAAACCTGCGTCTGCTCGCAGGCATCGTAGCTGTTTCATAGGACTGCTTGTTAGGGGTCCCGGCTCTTGATACATATCCTGTACAGGAACCTTGTAGTTGATTTTTGTGTTTATTATTTTTTTTCCAGTGGGCTGAGGATTGGAATTCAAGGCCTCATGCATGCTAGGTAAGTACTATAACACTGAACTCCTATCTTACCCCTGAGCCTTACATTTCTGATTTCAGCCAGTGGAGGCACTCTTGGGTATAGAGGAAGTTGGAAGAAGAAGTCTAACTAAGAAGTACCTTAGATGCCTGCCAGTCTTTACATAGTAGGTCTATGCTGTTCACTATGGTCATTCTCAATGCTACCACAATATCCTTTACCTCTCCAATTCTTCCCTGCCTGACTATCCCTTCACTATCAAAAGCACATAAGCCACATCTGTAGCAATCCTACAATCAAACAGTCAGCAGATAGCAGGACAGCAGCAACAATTAATGCAGTGGTTCTCAAGTGTCCTAACGCTGAGACCCTTTAATACAGTTCCTCGTGTTGTGGTGGCCTCCAACCATAAAATTATTTTCATTGCCACTTCAAAACTGTAATTTTACTACTGTTATGAATCATCTATGTTTTCAAATGGTCTTAGGTGAATCCCAAAGGGACCATGACCCATGGGTTGAAAACAACTCTGTTAGGGCATCTAGTTGATGGTGCCTCACAATGAAAAATACATTGTACATATCTCCAGTATCATAGACATACCTATCCATATGAGACTTTCCACTTTTTGCATGTACTACTCTCTGATTATCTCTATACTACTTTAGCTGGTATTAGTTTTTGCAATGACTGTTGGCTATTATCCACTGAAGTAACTTTGTGACCCTCCACTGATCAGTCTTCAGTTTGAGGAGCACAGTTGTAACCCGGCCCTCAGTCATGTAGATTAGATTTCAGACTGCTACTACTAAAACTCCTTTGTTAAGTTTGCCTTTTCATTTTCTTGCGGCACTGAGGATAGAACACAGAACCATGGGCATGCCATGAAAACACCCTACCACTGAGCTATGCTTGAAGCCTGTTTCCTCTGAGTCCACCCTGGCAACCAAGCACGCGATTCTGAGAATGTATCTATGTGCAGGAGAGCTTGGGACTTAAGAATCTCATATTTTTACTCTGCCAAGCTTTGCTTCCATCCCCAACTAGACAAGCCCCACCCCCAGTACATCTTCTTGCTCCATTGCCCCTACTCTTGCAGACCTGACTTCTGCTTGGCCTGGTACACAGCTCCAGCTATGCTGCTGCTGGGTTGTTCTGCATGTCTGTGCCCCCCGGGCACTGGTACCGCTCCATGGGAGGTTGCTTAGAAAGGTTCACATTTTCTCCCTCGTCTCTGATCTCTTCCTAAATACTTAGCAAAATCTCCTGGATTCAAAGCTGACTTTTTTGGAGTTAGGCAAGTATTCAATAAGAACAATTCAATAAGGCTCCATCTGGGCCTTAACTTTAAGGGCCCAAGAAGCTGGTGCGCAGCAAAGCATTTTGTGGAACGTGAACGGTGTCTTCAGCAGTCACAAACATCTTACAAGGAGCCAGGGAGCCACACACTTAAGCACACACTTCATAAACAATATTTGCTTTTGCAGCAACTTTCTGTTGCTTTTTGCTTATTTTTTATATCAATTATTATTAACTGAACTGCATATTTATGAGACATTGTGTGATCATTTGGCATATGTAGATAATGTATAATGACTAAGTCTGGGCAGTTAATGTCCATTTCCTTAGACAGTAAAGTTTGTTGACTGATACATAATAGCACAGTATTATCAGGTGCACTGTGATAATTCAACGGGTATGGACAATATGTAACGAACACCTCCATCTTTTTATATTACTTTGAGTTCGGCACTTTTGAGGTCCTTATTTTCTCGTTATTCATAAAATATATGCTGGTCTTATTCTTAAGAGCACTGGTCCTAGCCGGGTGGTGGCGGCGCATACCTTTAATCCCAACATTTGGGAGGCAGAGGCAGGGGGATATTTCTGAGTTTGAGGCCAGTCTGGTCTACAAAGCAAGTTCCAGGACAGCCAGGGCTACAGAGAAACCCTGTCTTGAAAGAACCAAAAATAAAATAAAATAAAATCAAACCAAATCAAACCAAACCAAACCAACCCAACCCAAACCAACCCAAAAAGCATTAGTCCTTCTCCCCAGATGAACATTATAGCCACCCAGTAGATCTAGATGAAAGCTAAATGTTCCTAAGAGGACTGAACTAGCATCCCTAGGCATGCTAACTGTTCATCTTCAGGCCAGACTTAAAAGAAGCTGTCCCATACATGTTTATTTAAGCATCATATATGTATACTGACTCATACTGAGAAATCCACCCATGACTTGGTCACAGCCTCACAGTGTAAAAGCTTTCCCGGAAGTGTCTGCAGGGAGGCAACCCAATCTGCAGAGGGAATCCTGCGCAGGCACTGCTGATATGTCCTTGTCTGGTCCGGAGGACGGGTTCCCTCTCTTTCCTACACTTAGGGTCACCTGGACAGGAGGCTTACATGTCTGTGGAGAGCAGGCTGGGCTCACTGCAGTACTCAGCGTCCTCACTCATCCTCACACTGCAGGTCTCTTCTGGAAACATCTCTTGACTCACCGAGGCCCCCTGGCTCTCTCGGGAGTGGCACCTGTAGCATTCAGAGTGGAGAAAGGTATCAGCATCTTCCAGCCTCCTGCCTCTTCCTCAGCAAGGAAGTGGCACTGGGCATATGTAGAGACACAATCCCACAGCTTCTGATGAAGCTGCAGAGCACAGACGCCACAAGCTGAGTCAGGGCTCTGTGTGGGAGACTCAAAGAGGTCTCAATTCTGTCCCCAGATCACTTACTCCTTGGCCCAAGACCTTTAGCTAACCCTACGCCTCAGTTTTCTCCTCTCTAACACTAGAGTAACACATTCCCTGCCAGATATAGAGGCAATCCCTAGTACCCACATAGAGAAGCTGGCACAACTAGCTGAACTGGTGAGCTCCAAGTTCAGTGAGAGATCCTGCCTCAGTGGAGAGGCATTGAGGAAGCCATCTGACGTCACTCTCTGGCCTCTAAACACAGGCACACATGAGCGCATGCACACTCCACAATCATGAACATGCATGAAGACAAAAGTGGGGAAGATGTAGTTTTGAGGCAGAGTCCTGGACTGTGCAATCAATACGGGGTACCACGGGCCAGCTGTGGACGGCCGAGCCTTTAGGTGGCTGTTTGAAACATCTGACAAGTTTCTGGAATCATGCTCAATTTGTTCTGACCCCGGAGTGAAGGCACAGGGAAGAAACTTCACAAAGAGGGCTTGTTCGAAGCAGGCAGGATAAGCTAAAGTCTGTGCTGCGCCTGGGTACTTCCTGAGCTAAAGAACCGCCACACCTGGATGTGCCTCAGAGTAGAATCCTGTCCCTCCTGGGACAGGGCCTCCTGCCCATTCGGTCATTTCTTCTCTCCCTCTTCCTTGTGTGGCTCAGTACATCTCTGCAGCACAGCTCTTATGGGCCCCCATGTCAGTTCCCTAAGCCTACAGGAACCCACTACTGTTGTTTAATACACAGATATGCAGTCATCATGCCTTCTAAGTATTTATATTTGTACCCATAGGTTAGTGCTACGATCAGCCTTGGTCAGAGATGTTTCTTTTAGCTGTGAGCAGCAGAGACTCACATGTAGTCCAAGTGCTGACAATAATTTATTGTATCTAAATAAGACTTCTGCATCACTCCTTCCAAGGCTCAAGGACCATTTGGGAAGAGGGAGCAGGAAGCTGGATGATTCCACTGTTTGCTTCCTTCTCACAAGACTGGGCCTGTCAACATGGCATCACAGAGTGGGCGGGGCTCAGGAGGCTCCACCCCTCCGTGAGGCGCCATTGGCTGGGGAGGAGAATGGGGGCTCATCTTCAGTGTGTAACCTTCTACCCATTCTTACCAAAGCAACCCTAGCTAAACTCAGTGGACCACATAAAAAAGAAAGGCATGATAGTAGGGAGGAGACTGACAGGAGCAGAAGGAGATAAGAGAGGGTGATGGTGTGTGAATATGATGAAAATACATTATATATGTGTGTGTGTGTATGAAACTGTCAAGAAAAAACTAAATAAAATCAAAGTTTGAAAAAAAGTGAGAGGTTTTCACAAGGCATAGAAGGGAAGAGCTAGAACTAGGTCTGAATCCTCAAAGTGTTGCAAAAAAGAGTGGGGCCACTGGACAGGCATGGGACAACTGTCTCATCTTAATACTCTCCTAGGCAGAACCAGTGTCAGAGCAGCACGCACGCTCTGTGTAGAGATCTCCTGGGTCCAAGGGCTCAGCCAGCACTGCTATTGGGTGGTTAAAGCAGTTAGTGTCCCAGAGCATTCAGTAGGGAGGATGGATGCCATGGTAACAGTCAGTCAAATGCATGGGCTATGCAGACTTTCATGTAGCCACCTGGAAACAGGATTTCGTGAAAACCAGTGAGCAGGAATGCTGCTCTGTGGATAGCAGATCAGGACTCTTGGGATTCAGAAGAGATGCCTGAAATACTTGATTATATTCTAGGCCACAGGGCAAGAAAATGGGCAGTTGCACTGAGAACCAGTGAACTGGAAGGGCAGCTAGTTGAGGGTGATGGACAAGGTGCAGAGGGTATCCTCTCCCATCCTGGCTCAGTAGCCTATGGCTGATGAAGCAGGCAAAGAGGTACCTGCTGCAGCCCAGGGCGTGCGTCCTTAAGGCCTAGAGCAGTTATAGCATCCACCACACCTGCACTTCATAGTGGTGTGTCCTACAGCACAGGCAGTGGGGAGAAGGGTGAGCCAGGCATGGGGGACATGGTCAAGGCCCTAGGACCATTCTACACTACTGCTAAGGAGGTGGATACACTGCCCAGTCTCAACTGGATGAAAAGCCGGGCTTAGGGACTTGGGAAAGGCAAGGGCTGGTTTTGTCGTATTGGCCCAAGTCACACATCTTGGAGGGTCACAGGTTAACATGGGATGAGAGGGGACAGGACTGTCAGAGGTATGGCATCTCAGCAGACACCTGGGAAGCAGAGTAATGTCTTCACTGACATTGGCATGTGTGAACAGGAGATGTGTGTGGTAAGCTGACTCCAGTAGCCTCCACAGAAGGCTGAGGAGTCTAAGTCCGTCTTTCCTGGTGTTATCTGGCTAGGGTGTGTGAGCCTCATGCTCAGGCTTACCCTCCCACTTACCTCTTGGAGCTGAGCTTCCATGCTGCCTCCTGTACCCGGATAGCAGGGGACAAGGGAGGCCCATGGCCCTCCACAGTGCTGACTGTGCTGGAGTAGCCAGAGGGATGGGGGAAGCGGCCCAGGGCAGTGTTGTTGGCATTGTTGATGTTGGCATTGGAGCCCGTGGATGAGTAGCTGCTGGGGGTGAAAGTGGAGTCCACTAGCTTCTCATGGGATGGTGACTCGGTGTCACCTTGGTTGTTTGTCGTCTTGTTGATATGCAGTGGGCGCTGGGTAGTGAAGGTCTGAGGAAAGTTGCTCCTGCTGTCACTTTGATAGTAGCTGACATGGTTGCCAAACAGGCCTCCAGCTCTCTGTAGACAAGACAGAGTAGGTAGAGAAGAGTTTTCTGCATTCTCTCTCCTCCCTCCTGCATCCAACTCTCTTGTCTTGTATAGCAGTGGTCAAGGAGCAGAGGCCACAGGAAGCCATCTTGCCCTTCAGAGAGGCACACACTCTAGGCACATGGTAGAGAGAGGGACTTAGATGCTCAAGGCTCTACAATTCCCCTACATGTAGCACCGGGACAGGAATTCCCTCTTGGGCTGGGCAGGCAGGAGGTTGCTGGTCTAGAAGCCTCCCTGGAAGTTTGTTCCTGAAGCAGCACCATAGACTGAGGTTGGGTTTCAAGGACAAGTCCAAGATGGCCGCCCTTCACAGAAGCCAGCCGTTTAGCTTGGTGGAGCTTGCTGTGAGTATTGAGGGGTGAGAAGAAGGAATGCAAGATGCGGACCAGATTGTTTTAGTGGAAATACAACTGGCTCATGGAGCTACAAACTGTACTAAGAGTAAAGACTCTACTATATTGATTATATCGCAGCTTCCTTTCCTGTAGGGGTTCTTTGAGGTCTGAAGTCAGGAACAAGTATTTTTCTCCAATATTCTTTCTTTGTCCCAGAGTGAGGAGTGGGAGGAGTAGTGGTTAGGGGCTGGGGAAGCAGTGGTTTACAATGTTTGTCTAATTTGATATCTGAAGGTCCTTAGGAGCCAGACCTGGGACCTGGGAGTGACAGGAAGTAGAAGGGAGGGAGCCAGATTGGAGACTGCTGGCTTATGGCACAGCAGGGTGTGATTTTTCTGACCGCCTTAATATTACTCCAGGAAAGGAGGAGGAGGCCTAGAGGGTACCACTGTGACTTGGATATCATGTGTTCTATCTTAAAAAGGCAACCCATGCTTGTCTAGCTGTCACATAAGAACCCACACCTAATGTGGCCACTTAACCTGATTTTCTTCTCCAAGAAAAGCCAGAAGTTTGTGTTTTTAATTAGATATGCCAGGTATTAAAATAGTGGTGACTAAAACAGGTTTTCATATTAGATGAAGGCCAGGAGTCCCTACTCCACACCTTCTGATGAGCAACTTCTCTAAGAAACAGGCTCCCGTGTTCTCTGAGAGCTGGGCATATTTTGTTTTGAGCTGCCGTGTCCTAGGAGGATGGCACGGCACAGAGTTGGTTGGAAAGGAGACAGGAATGAGGAGACAGCTGACTAGGAAGAATGTGCCACCCCTCAGAGAGATCAGGCAAACACCAATTTAGTGCAATATTGCTCCAAACTGAACTTCGTTAAGACACTAGTCATGGCACTTACCCTGAAGATGTCATCTTCAGAGGCAGCAGACACAGCCTCCTTCATAGCCTTGTCCAACTCCTCCTCAGCGGTAAGATCCCCAGAGATGGCCCGTCGGATCTCAGGCCCAATATCATGCAAAGTTCGTAAGCCAGCCTGGAACCCAGAGGGACTCGTGAAGACCCAGATCCTTTCTACTGATCTTTAGTCAGCCAGGACCCTGTTGCTCCTTCCCAAGCCCCTGCCTCTCAGCTTCTCTGCCAGGCAGCTGGGCATCCACATCAAGAGATGGGCTTCCCTGGAAACTCTCCTACCCCAACAACCCTAGAGTAGAAGAACCTACTCATTTATCTAGGAGGAATGAAGGCATATTACAGGACCACGAAAATCTGCTGTTTCAGGAGCAATAGGTAGGACTGGAGGCTGGGAAAGCTGGCAGGATGGTTGATGGAGGTATGTGGGCAAGAATGGAAGAGAGGAAGAGCACCTTGCCTTCTCCATAGCCATCTTCAGGAAGGTTTAAAGTGCTCACAAGTTTTCTTGGGATGTGAGTTGGCCTCTAAGTAGCTAGCAAGACTTGGACCCTGGCTAGGGTCAGAGGGAAGTGACCAGGACCTGAGTATGGGCACCTCCCTCCAGCCCCTCACCTGCAGGGACAGTGCATTCCTCTGTGAAGGCTTTCCCACCAACCCCTGCTCTTTTCGCTTCTTGAATTTTCGGAAGTACTCTTGGATCAGGAACGTGGCATAGAACTTGCCTACTGTGACCTCATCATCTAAGACACACAGAGAGGAGAAAAGGTTGAGTGATTCCATCAGAAATCCTGAAATTTCTTCAACATATTAGCTTTAATTGTTTAATACAAAAGAAAACATGTAAAAAGGCATATGCTTTAAAAGTCACCATATCCCTGTCTGTTTACTTTCTTGAGTTCTTGCCCAGAAATGAGCAAGCACGTTCTTGTTCTCTTGTTTCCAAATTTATCCTTCTCTCTTATATTATATCATGGCCTCAGTTTCCCTCCCTCTTTTTCTCTCAGTGCCCATCCTTCACTTCCTCTGTCTCCTAGATTCACTCCTTCTCCAGTTCCCTTCAGAAAAGGGCAGGGCTCCCAGGGATATCAACTGAATAGAGAATAAGTTACAATAAGACTAGGTACATCCTCTCATATTAAGGCTGGATGAGGCAACCCAGTCGGAGGAAAAGTGTCCCAAAAACACATCAAAGAATCAGAGACATCCCTGTTCCAGCTGTTAGGAGTCCAACGAGAAAACTGAGCCACATAATCGTAACATATATGTAGAGGACCTAACTCAGACCCATACAGGCTCCCTGATTGTGGCTTCAGTCTCTGAGCCCCTATGAGCCCTGCTTAGATGATTCTGTAGGCAGTGTTCTTGTGGCGTCCTTGACCCCTTTGGCTCCTATAATCCTTCCTTGCCACTTCCTTTTTAATTGAAGCAAGATCTCCCTATCTTATCCAGTAGTGATATATCATTTATGATTTGTTAAAGTTTGGCTGAGGATTGAGAAAAGCAAAGTCAGCCTCAAGCTACAGAGACCAGGCAGTGGTGATACACAACTTTAATCCCAGCAGCCAGAAGCTAGGAGGTGGTGGTACACGCCTTTAAATTTAGGACTCGGATTAAGAGGTAGATGAATTTCTGCGAATCCAAGGCCACCCAGATCAGTCTAAAAGATCATCATAGTTCACATCTTTAATCTCAGCACAAGAGGGGTATAAAAGATAGAAGTAGGGGCTTTAGTGGTCAGTATGAGGCATTCATTCTCCAGCCATGCTGAGGAGAGGTTACAGTCTGAGGCTTTGTGAGAGTTCATGGAGACAGGATCAGCACATTCAGCCTGAGGCAGAGGTAAGAAGCTAGTGGCCAGCTGCTTTGCTTTTCTGACATTCACTTTGAAGTTTGAACCCAATATTAGTCTTGGGGTCATTTATTTATTTGTGTTACAGCCTCCAATTTCTGGGGTCAAGTGACAATTCCCTCCCGAATAGCTGGGACCAGAAGCATAAGCTGATGTGTATTCCTAGATGTTTTTGTTTTTTTTCTCATTTTTTTTTCCCTCACAGAAAAGGAAGGATTATCAAGGTTACTTTCCACCTTGTTTTTTTTCCCACCCTCCTGAATGGACATTACTAAGTCTTGTTTGATTCCACTTGCCATCAAATGATCAGTCTCTTAACTATCAACACAATTCTAGTGGGGTGACAGGGGCTAGTGGCAGGGGCCCCTCTTTATTTAAGGTTGGTGATTTCCCTTCCTGTCAGTTAGACTGGATTAGACCACGTATCCTTGATGGGCTGGGCATACAAGACCACGCCTGACATAGTCTTGATCTTAGGAGTGAACCAAATGGTAGGAAAGCTCTAAGTTCCCAGGGGGAGTGTTTCATGCCAAGCAAGTGGTCCCTCTGTCTTGTCCCCTTTTTGGTATGAGAAGGACAGATGGTTAGGCTGGGCCTCAGGACCTGCAATGGCTTTCCCAGTCCTCATTGTTCCTTCAGAGTAGCTAACTCTACAGAAGTTTCGGGCTTACCATAGGGCAGGGGCTCATTTTCACATGAAGGGAAAACCCTGGAGATCCCTGATAAGGGAAGCTGGGAATGAACTTGGAGTCCTAGGTTCGCTCAGGTCTGAGTTGGATGCCTGGGTCTACACTGTACTCACTGGGAAATCTACATAGTTGGGAACATCACTGCCTGGAGTGAACTTCATAGAGATGCCATGGGCACTAGATAAAATGAAGAAGCAAAGCGTCAGGTGGCACATGGTGGCTCCCAGCACGACTCGTTTTACCCACTGGAAGTGGGTCTCAAACAGGGAGTCTCACCTCTTAAGGATGTTTCTGGAATGTGTGGGCTCAACTAGCATGTTAATATAATATACTTGACAAATGAGAAGTGTTGATAGTATACTGAGAATTTTATATTGAATGCATTTGCTTTTAACATACCTCATTTTAAAACATTCTATTAGTGCTGTGGAAATTACAAGTGTAGCAGGTTATCTATGATTCTGACTTGGGATTATCGAAGGGGTGGTATGAAGGAAGTACTTGCTATGAAAAGGGGCTTGCGGTTTGGAAGGCATGACAAATGCTTCTCTAGAAAAAAAAAGAGCTTTAAAAAGATGTGTTGAATCTCAGGCAACTTTCCTTCCAGAGCTGTAGAGCAATTCTAGAGCAGTCAGCCCAGTGGCTTATGGGTAAATCTATACCCATATATTGTAGAGCTCCCACAAAAGTTCTGCCAAACCCCTAAGCATAGAAGGGCTTGCTTGTCCCCATGTGTGAATGTAGGGTTACAGCAGGTTTCTTTCTTTCTTTTTCTTTTGTTTTTGTCTGCCTTTTTTTTTTCCAGACAGGGTTTCTCTGTATTGTTTTGGAAGCTGTCCTGGAATTCACTTTGTAGACCAGGCTGGCCCTGAACTCAAAGAGATCTGCCTGCCTCTGCCTCCTGAGTGCTGGGCTTAAAGGTGTGCACCACCAATGCTGGGCAACAGCAGGTTTCTAATAGGATAGGTTGTATCTAAGTTTGTGCAGGACATTACAAGTGGAACCTCTGATCCCACAGAAGGGGCCAGAGAAAGAAGGATCGGACACAGTGCACTCAAGCATTGAAGCCTCAAGGAGAAGGATCCAACGTGGTGGGCTCAAGCATGGGCATCTCAAGGGCTGTGTCTGCGGTGCTAATGATGGCACAGCTGGAAGACAGGAAGGTGGAGAAATCCTACTGGCTGGGCCAGTAACCCTGGTCTGGGAATGCAGGGAACACTCACCACCTGCAGGGGGCACCACTTGGTCCAACAGCTTCATGCTGGTCCTCTTCCAGATTTTCTTGATGATGGCCCGCAGCTCCTCATTGGCTTGTTCTAAGTTCCCTGATAGAAGGAGGTGTAGACTGAAAACATCCCCCACATGCTGGGAAGCCCCACAAGCCACCCTGAGCTATCACATTCTGCTTCCCCTTTGTTCTGCTCTCCCATCTTCCTATTTGCTAGTTCCTTTCACTTCCCCTTTTCCTCTCTCTCTTTACTTCCTGTCCTCGTGACTGTCCTCTCTTGCCCTGTCCAATGCCATTTTCCTTCCTTTCCTATTCCATTGTAAGCCAGCCCAAAGCCCTCCCTTAACCCCATGCCATGTTCCCTTCTGGTTATAGCTGAAGAGCATGATGGTGCCTGCAGACATTGATGTCTCAGCTCTGATACTGTTTGCCATGTAGGGCAGCATCCAGGCTGATCCTTATCGTGACATTTTACAATGACCTCTATGGTGGCTTGAAAGAAAATGGCCCTCAAAGGGAGTGGCCTTGTTGGAGGAAGTGTGTCACTGAGGGGGCGGGCTCTGAGGTCTTTTTCTCATGCTTCACTCAATGTGACCATCAGCTGACTTCCTGTTGCTTGCAAGATGTAGCACTCTCAGCTTCCGTACCACATCGGCCTGCATACCACCAAGCCCCCCACCGTGATCATAATAGACTGAACCCCTGAAACTGTAAGTGAGCCATCCTCAATTAATGTTTTCCTTTATAAGAGTTGCTGTGGTCATGGTGTCTCTTCACAGCAATAGTAACCCTAACTAACACAACCTCCTTGTACAGCTGCAGGAAATGGAGATGCTTTGAGGGGAGAACAATCCACTCCTCCCACACATATACACAGCATAGGGGGCACACATGTGTCCAAAGGGTCTCTGTTGAGTACCCCAGGGAGGGAAGTGGAGGACTCTAACAGTGGAGGCAGAAACCTGAAGGCCTATGCTGTGGTAGTTTGGACTTCATTAGACGCATGCTGTCTGAGACACAAGTCTCATGCTGCTGGAGAAGCAAAGCATAAAAGCAATTGTAAGAGGGGATGTGTTGGGCAGGATTCGAGGATCCTCCCAAGGATGCCTGCCCCTAGTGTACTGATTTTTGTCTTAAGAGTCCTGAGCAGAGCGCCCCACTTTTCAAGTCTGATAAACAGTGAGCTAGTCACTGAGTATTCTTGGAAGCTGTGAAGTTTATGGGGTTTGCTGCATAGCACTGGGAAGAGGTTATGGCTGGTAGTAACATTCATCATATGGGAGGTGATGGGGAATCATGTGAGCTATGGGGTCAGACTGCCTGAGTTCAAACCCAGCTCTGGATTGGTATGTGGGAGCAAGCATAGATGCTCATGAGGAGTGAGTGATGGTTCCTGAAAATGTTGAACATTAAATTCAACATGCAGCTAAAGACAGAACACCTCCTGGGCAGTCCAACATGCCTTCAGTTCCCTTCACTGAAGGTGGTTCATTGCATTTTTTGTTTGTTTTCTGAAACAAGAGCTTGTTATGTATCCCTGATTTACCTCAAATTCATAATCCTCCTGCCTTGGGCATTCAAATGCTGGAATTACAGGTATGTGCCACCATTCTGGACTTAGTGGTTTCTGACACATGCTGTGAAAGAATCCTGATATAACAATGTGCAAATGAATTCATCTTTTATTGGGCTGAAAGGAGTACTCCAAAACTTATGTGACGGGAGATATCATTCTGTAAATATATCTCTCTTCTTGGTTGATGAATAAAGCACTGTTGTCCAATAGGGATGCAAGATAGGTGGGACTAGGAATCAAGGAGGATTCTGGGAAATGTAGTCAAGAAGAGAGAGTCTCCATGTGATCTCAGGAAGAGGGGACGCATCAGGATGGCGTCCTTGGAAAGATAAGTCCTTATAGAAATAAATATTAGTAGTCATGGGTTAATACTTAAAACAGAACTAGCCAATGAGAAGCCCTGGACATTGGCAGACAGCATTGTAACTAGTAGAGTCTCTGTGTGTTATTTGGGGTTGACGAGGCTCAGGGACCAGGCTGGCGGGAAGAACACACGTTACACTTACATCTACATGAAAAATCAGAATGTGAATTTGTCTAGTGTAGTCATTTGAATGTAATTGGCCCCCATAAGCTCATAAGGAGTGACACTATTAGTATGTGTAACCTTGTTGGAATAAGTGTGCCACTGTGGGGGTGGGCTTTGAGGTCTCCTTTGCTCAAGTTTCACTCAGTGTAACATTCAGTTCACTTCCTGTTGCCTTCAGATCAAGATGATGAATTCTCAGTTCCTTCTCCAGCACCATGTCTACCTGTATGCCACCATGTTGCACCATGATGATAGTAAACTAAACCTCTGAAACTGGAAGCCATAACCTCAATTATATGTTTTCTTTGTAAGCATTGCTTTGGTTATGGTGTCTCTTAATAGCAATAGAAACCATAACTAAGACAGAAGTTGGTACTAGGAGTGGAGTATTGTTGCGATAGGCCTGCCATGATCTTGTTTGAAGGAATATGGACCTTGGGACTGTAGAGTAGAAAAGCAGTTGAATGTTTAAGTGCTACTAAATTTGCCATACTAGTAGGAGCATAGAAGACAATGGTGATGAATAAGATTTGATGAACTGTGGTAGCCTGGTTTGAGAGGTTTCAGAGGAGAAGAATTTAGTATGTTGGCTAGAGATTGTTCTCATGATATTTTGGTGAAGAATGTGGCTGCTTTTTGCCATTGTCCAAAAAGTCTTCCTACAGATAAATTGAAGAGTTTTTTATTAATTCCCTTGGCAGAGGAAATCTCAAAACAGCCTAATGTAGACTCTGTCATGTGGTTATTAGTGTTAACTATAGTGAAGATTTATAATGAAAAGGAGCAAGGTAAGAAAGTAAAAATGCAAAATGTACAATTTGAGGAGAAAAAGAGCACCAAGAAATGGAATGGCACTAAGTCTTATGTTTAAGAAGACAAACAGATTAACAAATGGAATAAAGAGAGTGGTGACCTCAGGGTAAGATCCCACCTAGCTAAGTTTACTTGTGAAAAGAAATTAAAGAAAGTTTAGAGCCAGGTATGGTGGTGTATGCCTTTAATGCCAGTACTCAGAAGGTAGAGGATGACAAATCTCTGAGTTTGAGGCCAGCTTGGTTTACAGAGCAAGTTACAGAACATATAAGCTTGGGCAGTGAAGGAAACCATAAAAAATGGAAATCTGGTGCATATGTAAGTGAACAAGGGAGCCAGCCACGTTCCAGTCCAAGAAAGTAGCAGAACTTGGCAGCTTCAGTCACGTGGTTTATATTTAGAGTCAAGGAACAGGTAAGGAAAGCCTCAGAGGTCAGGCATGTGTCAGGAGTATGTGTCCCTGAATGGAGGCCAAGACAGACCATATTGTGAAGCTATAAAGTTGAAGTCTGGATTGCCTTGGAGACCCCAAGATGTTAGAGATGCCATGGACATGGGATACCTGTGGAGGAAAGCTGCTAATAGGGAGTGGAACCAGCCAAAGAGAAGAAGTGTGTTGCAGACAACAAAGCTGAAAGGAGTTGGAGATCTGAAGAGTGCTTTGACATCAGACATGGAGGTGCAGAGTTTGCAGTCTGACTGGCTGGTTTTTGGTCTTGCTTTGGTTCAGTATTTCCTAACTATGCTCCCTTCCATGTTTTGGAATGGTAATTCATATCCTGTACCATTATGGTGGAAGTTATGTGATCTTTTTTATCTTGATTTTTATTACAGTTAAGAGAATGCATGAATCTCAGAAGAGACTTTGAACTTTAAAACATTTTTGAGACTGTGATTATACTGTGGGGACGTTTGAAGTTCGATTAAATGCATTTTGCATTATGATATTGTTACAAGTTTATGGGAGCCAGGGAGTGGAATGTGGTAGTTTGAATATAATTGTCCCCATAAACTCACAGAGAGTGGGGAGTGGGACTATTAGAAGGTGTGGTCTTGTTGGAGGAAGTGTGTCACTGTGGGGGTGGGCTTTGAGGTCTTCTCCTTTGCTCAAGCTTTGCTCAGTGTGACACTCAGTCTACTTCTTGTTACCTTTGGACGAAGATGTAGTATTCTCAGCTCCTTCTCCAACCCCATATCTCCCTGCCATGTCCACCATGGTTATAATGGACTGAACCTCTGAACTGTAAGTTACTCCAGTTAAATGTCTATAAGAGTTGATATGGTCATGATGTCTCTTCACAGCAATAGAAACCCTAATTAAGACATTTAGAAGCAGGGTCTTCACAGACGTAACTAGTGAAGTCATGATATGTTAGGGTAGACCACCCATCCAATGTGATTGGTGCCACTGGAGAAGAAGAAAAGACCAGTGGCACACAGAGTAGGCCATACATGAAGAGGGTGGTAGAGACTGAGGGGTGGAGCCACTTACTTGAGACCACTGGAAGCCAGAGAGAGACGTGGATCCCATTCTCACCTGAAGCCAGAGAGAGACGTGGATCCCATTCTCTCCCAAGGCCTCTGGAGAGAACCAGTCTGCCAACACCTTACTTTGGATGGTTACTCTCTTAAATTGTGAGGGGAACCAAATTTGTGATCCTTTAGTCAGACTTGAGGAACAAATGTATCTTCCAAAAGATACATTTTTTAGGCTTTCATTTACTTTTCTAACAACCCAATGTAACTGTGGAATTTCATCAATAATTGTTTCATAATGTATATGTTTTATTTTTATTGTTCTGTTTTCAGTGCTGGGGTCTGAATCTTGGGCCCTGTGCATGTTAGGTACCTGCAGTAGGGTTGAGATACACTCGAAGCCCAATTTAAATACCTTTAAACACCTTTTTCCTTTAGTGTTCTGATAGAAATCTTACTAAGCTTGATACTTGGCTTGGGGCAAGTTTCTGTTTCTTAAGGTACATATTAATTTTTTCTAGTTTCTTCCATTTCTTATTAATGTCTGAAGGGTGAGTGAAGACTGATTAGTCTTATCCCTATAAATGTTGGTGTTTTCTCCCATTTCTTGTCTGAATGGGGTGTTGACTCACAGTCTTAATAAGTTCATAGAAGGCCTGTTTTGTATGAAGGTTCAGCCTCGAATACTGAAGTATTACATGCCCTTGATGGCTATCCCCAGGAGCCTTTATGTTTAAATGCTTATCTTTAATTCTTAATTAACTGTATGTCCCACTGGCTGGTTTCTCTCCTCAGGAATTCCCATTTCTTAACAATGGTTATCTGTGATTGAGTCTTTGGCAGTCCCTCAGGTATTGGCATTATTTCATGGAGATCTGGTTGGCTTGTGTGCACAAATGCTTTTTATTCCTTCCTGGAGCCAAAACCTGCATTATTAATTTATAGCAAGCTTTAAGTATCACAACACATTCTTTCTAGTAGTCATTCTGTCTTTTCTCCTTGGAGAAGAAAGCCCTTCTCTTGGAACGGGAAGGAAATGATATTCACTGTAGAAAATTTGGAAAGACTGGAGCTGAAATAAGGTTCCACTACACAGTGATATTCAATATTAATATAACAGCAGACATTCTTCCAGTTTTGTCTGTTATACACATGTGTGCATTAAGTATGTATCGAATTTTCTCATCAGGCCTATTTATACCTACCCCAGATTGAAGTTTTGTATTACTAATGGCATTTTTTTTGCCCTTTGCTTTCTTTTTAGTTTACCAGGAGAATTTGATACATTTTTATTTTTTAAAGGTTGGCTCATTATCCTGATCTGTATCTTGCAGGATTGGTTCTTGGCTCCCTCGTGCCTGTTATTTGCTGGAAGAGTAAAACTAAAGAAGGCACCTCTCTGGGTGACACTGTGAAGTAAATGCCAGATGCCACCACCTTCCATTATTTCACAATATGGAAAACAAAGCAAGACAGTAAATAGTTATACACATGCTGTGCCCTGTTGTGTGTGATGCCCAGTGCCCTTCCCCTGCAACATGGACACTGGCTGGAAGCCTGTTTGGTTTGTACAGGAGAAATGTATGCACTCTCTCTAAATGCAGGTTCTCAAGCTTCTGTAGGCAATGACCTCTATTTACCATAGTCACTGCTTGTCAATGCTACCTTTCCAACATAGGTCCTTTAAATTTCAAAAGAGAATTGAATGTTTGGGAGATATGCCTGTCTCTAATAAAAGTTCATCAGTATGGGGCTTGGTCCTGCTCTGCAAAACAACCACCTCTTCCGTGTTTTCCACTAAACCTTCAAGTCCTCAGGAGGTTACCAGGGCAATTTCTAGGGTTTGACAGAAAAGAAAAGTTAAAAATAAATAAGTTATGGCAAGGGGGCCATTTAGTAACCAGAGAAAATGTAAGTGGATGCACCTCTTGGAGAGTTAGAGTGCAGGCTGTTGGTGTTATTCTGCACTGGTGCTATGTAGGCAGGAGCATCTTTCTGATGGGGATGCTAGACTTTCCTAAGCACCCTCCTGCCAGTGGTACCAGTGGTCCATGAGAGCCATTACCTTCTGTTTTGATCCTCAGGGCTGTCCTGACTAGGGCAAACAGGGTAGCATTGAACATGACTGTCCCATCGCTGTTCAGAGGCATGTTCATGGACACCAGGCGCTGGAGGGAAAAGGAGGCTGAATCAGTGACAAGGATGGGCAGTTCTTAAAGGCTCTGTGCAATCATTGTGGCAGGGAGGTTGGGAGGCCTCTGGAAACTTGGATGGGTGCTGTTGGGAGTGGGAGGGGTATGCATGTGGTCACCACAGTGTTTGCAAGCTTTTCCAGAGAGAAACTAAGCTTTGTGGTTAGTACTCCTGTGCCTCCACTTCCCTTAGCCCTTGCTTCCACAAAGCACCCTCTCCTACTCTGTGCTCAGGCCTACAGACAGCTATGCTATCTACTAGCAGCAAGAACAGCCACTGCCTGCCAGACAGAATTGTCCAACTCCAAAGAAAAGGAACACGCGATGGCTCTGGGGGGACAGAGTACCCTTTTTCTGCATATAGACATATTTATTTCTACTTCAGTCCCGGTACCAAAATCACCCAAACAGGGTTTTGTTGCTCTCCACCCCCAAAACATGCTCCCCTGACCTCCTCCTCCCTTGGGGGAGCCATCAGCACACAGGGGTCATCGGGAGAAAGAGCAATATGATATCCATCATGGATAACACTGATGTCATCCCTCAGACCACATGGGGTCTGCCTGTGATATTTTGCCAAGGGTTGCATTTTTCCCGGGTGAATGCATCATTTTGAATCTTTTAGACACTAACTTAGACCTGTATACCCCAGCTCCCTCTGGGCTGTTTGACCTTACATTTGATTGGTACTTCTTACAGCTTGAATCCTGAATGTCACCCAAAGACCATGCCATAAAGGCTCAGTACTCTTGGGAAGTGGTGGACCCTTCAGGAGGTACAGCCTAGTGGGAAGAAATGACAGGAAACCACACCCTTGAGGATGATATTAGCATCTTGGTCTCTCTTTTTCCCTCTCTGCTTCTGAGGTGAAGAGGCCCTGTGGTGAGTGGGCCTTTTCCTCAACTGTAATGTCCCAAAGTTGCCACTGACCCAAAGCACAGGCCTGGTGATCACAGACCGAAACCTCCAAAACTGTGAACCAAAAGGAACCTTTTTACAGGTTAAGCAACTCAGGTACTTGTCACAGCCGCAGAAAGAAGAATGACAGAAGGCTCCTGTTTCTCATATTTTTAGTACACTTGGAAATCTCCTGAAGTTCTTTTTGGAATAAAGCAGGGGTACTGATCAGGGAAATCAGACTACCACAGAGCATAAGTGAAAGTTCCATGCTTCCTAAACTCTGTTTTCCACGAATGGGTTATCCAAGGAGCTCAATTATTGGCCGTTTGCATTTCTTCCTCTATATGGCTGGGCTCTCTGCTACTGCTTTCCCAGCTCTTTATAAGCTCACCAGGGTTCTCACCAGAAACACAGAGTGGGGAGAATGGAGGTAGATGGTGACCGGATGCAGGGATGCTCCTCATCAGTCACTGGGCCATGTGGCAGGGTCTACAGTAGGCTTAAGGATCCCTATCCTCAAGGTCAGTGAGTGGCTGTGCTATCAGAGCCTGATGTTTGTTCCAGCAGTTTTGAATCATAGATTCACTTAGGAATTTGATAAAAATGGCAGGTTCCTGTCTGGGTAAAGTTTGTATTTTGTGATGAGACATTACTTGTGGCCTCTCTAATGGTTTTCTGACTTCAGGACAAAGTTCTTAACCCATTACCCTAGGTGAGGAGAATCACCTGATGCCCAGGCTGTGCAGTCTAATGAGGATGTATAAACCCTTTATTCAGGTAGGATATCTGCTTCCCTCACTGGGAAACAAGGCATTCGTTGTGATGGTTGTTCTTTTATAGTCTTAGGACTTTAGATCTAGAAGGTCCTTAAAATAGAATTCAGCTCACATTTGTTTCTCTAAATACCTAAAATATTTTTATTCCCTTAATAATCACAAAGGCATCAAGGTATCTAGCCTCCTGTATTTGTTCTTTCCCCTCAGGAACCCAGGTCATTCCTTACTTTGCAGGCCACACGGTGAGGACACAACTTCCCAAAACCCAAGGGGGGCTGAATTCGACGGAGGAGGGTCACCACATCCAAGTGTTTTATCCGACCCCTAGAGAATGAAGGAGAGAAGGAAAGGCGGTCAGATGGTCAGGACTCACCTACTGGGGTGGGGCCAGATGCAGGGGCATTCCCTGCAGGGCTACCTGAAGGCCTGAGCAGTGCAGAGATACATGACAGAACTGTAAACTCAGGGCACATGTTACAGCTTTCATCACAGAAGAAGTTTGTTAGGGCTGTGCTCCAGGGAGAAGGGATTCTAGTAGTGCAATTAAATCCCAGTGTGTATGTGTTGCTCAGTCAATGAACCATTTGGCCAGAAGGCATTTAGGGATGGTCATTTAACTGTTATGGGTAAATGAGTTTCCATAAACCTGAGGTCAAGATGGAGCTGAAGTCTACCTAATCCTAAATGATCCAATGTAAGTGTTGCTAGTTTCATCTGACACTAGTCTTTTATTTTTTCATTCAACTGATATGTTCCCCAGCTGTGTGGCCTCCTCTTGCTGGCCCTTAACCCTTCAGTCTGATACATTTCAGGGTTTTCAGTTAGTACACCCAATGTTGACCTCTCTTGGATCTCTTCTACAGGTCACTCAACCCCCTCTCAGTTTGGTGGGTCGGAGTTTCCCTCTAGGAACTTACTTGGCTTCAGGGTCATACTCGGCCCAGATCCTTTTGAATTCATCCAGATGATGGGGACCAAGGATAGACCAATCCCTTGTCAGGTAGTCAAAGTTGTCCATGATAACGGCTACGAAGAGGTTGATGATCTGCAGGGAACAGTTGGTACACTAAGGGGTTTGTCAAGACTTACACATTTGCTGCCTAAGCCCACTTCAGCAGTCAGTGCCTGGGCAAGCCAGAGACCAAGGTTTCTAACTATCAGAAATATGCTAGCCCTTAGGATGCCAACTGCTAGAATTTAGGTCTCTTGGACATGAGTTCAACACTATTCCCCTGAGCATCTTGAGTAATGAATCATATACGTAGACAGACCAGCTTCCTTTGTACCAAGTTACCAGGAACAGAGAGGGGCTTTGTCTGGTCACCTTTCCCTAACTCCTGAACAAGATATTAGAGACATACAAGTTCATGCAGAACTTCCACACGTCTTTGTCTTTTAGAATAATGCAACCACGAGAGCTGCGAATGCACAAGATGGAGTCTGGTTGAGTCGCTCTGGGTCAAGGCTTCTGGCCCTTCTCAGGGGTGAGATATCTCCACTAATACAGTTTTCCCAAGACGGCTCGTATGCTGGGATTGCCCTGACCCCATACTGCACCGAAACTGCCAGCATCTCTGTGCTGTTGAATCCCACCTCAGCTTACCAGGAAGGCACAGAGCATATAGAAGCTGATGAAGTAGAAGACAGCAAAGCTGCTGCCACAGGGGGTCTCCCCTTCTGTGCTGTTGCTGGGCTCGGACTCTGGGGCACACTTCTTGCCCGGCATACAGGCCAGCATGATGTCCTGCCAGGCTTCCCCGGTGGCACACCTAGACAAGAGAGGCCAGAGTCCAACCTCAGCTGGCCACTCACTCACTCACTCACTCACTCACTCATTCACTCACTCATTCACTCACTCTCACTCATTCACTCACTCACTCTCACTCATTCACTCACTCACTCACTCACACTCACTCACTCACTCATTCACTCACTCACTTATTCACTCACTCACTTATTCACTTACTCACTCACTCACTCACACTCACTCTCTCACTCACTCACACTCACTCACTCTCACTCACACTCACAATCACTCATTCACAATCACTCACACTCACTCATACACTCACTCACTCTCACTCACACTCACTCACTCACACTTACAATCACTCATTCACAATCACTCACACTCACTCACACACTCACTCACTCTCACACTCACTCACTCACACTCACAATCACTCATTCACAATCACACTCACTCACTCACACTCACACTTACAATCACTCATTCACAATCACTCACACTCACTCATTCACAATCACTCACACTCACTCACACACTCACACTCACACTTACAATCACTCATTCACAATCACTCACACTCACTCACTCACACTCACAATCACTCATTCACAATCACTCACACTCACTCACACACTCACTCTCACTCACACTCACTCACTCACACTCACTCACACTCACAATCACTCATTCACAATCACTCACACTCACTCACTCTCACTCACACTCACTCACACTCATTCACACTCACTCACACTCACTCACACACTCACTCTCACTCACTCACTCACACTCATTCACACTTACAATCACTCATTCACTCACTCACACTCACTCACTCATTCATACTCACACACTCACTCACTCACCCTCTCACTCAGGCAAGGCTCCCCGAGCCTCACCTTCCAGAAGGAGTTGCTAAAAGGAATTGGAATTCAATGTTGACTGGATGTTGAGTGTGTCCATTAAATATGGAAATATAAAGCATTGTTTTGAATGTTTTAAAACTTAAGCCACACAGGAAGTTTCTGAAAACATAAGCTTTTATCTATGTGAAGATTTTAGATGCAGCCATGTAGACATTACAGCTGTAGTTTGCTTTCAGTGCTACACAGAAGCACCCTCTATGAGTACATTAAAAAACCCACACTTGCTATGGGAGTGGGTTTTCAGAAAGGTTCTTTTTGTTGTCACAGCTAACACTGTAGTAAGTATGCCGGTCCATGTCTTGGGTGTCTGCTTAGGAATGGAACTCCCAAGTCTTCATTTTTACCAGGTAGCACTTGTCTGGTTTAGACTAGGGTCATCAGTGTCATTGCAGACACATCAGCTCTTGGTATTAGTTAATTTTAATCCTCATATGATGGTGTGGAGTGATATTTCACTGCTATTTGGCTTTTCACGGCCAGCCTGGGCTACATGAGGTCTTATCTTGAAAAGAAATAAAATAAGTATCTTTTTTTAAAAATGGCTTTGCAATGATTAGTACGTTGTCAGTTTTGATTGTGTCTCCTCTTGACTGCATGTTCATGGCATTACTCCTTTGACTCATGGGCTAGGTATCTTTTTGTTTAGTCAAACAGTCCTAGTCCTTAGTTACATTCACTACAAATGTCTCATTCCAAATATGGCTTGTCTCTAGCTTAACAGCACACTTCCCAAGGCTCTAAACTCAGGATTCCCATATTCTCAAGGCAGGGACCTTACCCACTGAGCCATCACCCCAGTCTATCCTTCTCATATTATTGCCCTGAATAGAACTTTCAACATAATATTGACTAGAAAAAGTGATAACATAATGTCTATTGTACTTACTAATTGGTTGTCACAAACTGGTGATTTTCTTGGTGGCTCTCCCACCTCACTGATCCTACCCACTGTTATAAAATGGATTTGCTTGCATTTTCTACCTGAATTAGCCTTTGCCTTCAGATGGCAGTTCCCCACGTTGTAGTGTTTGTGACTTCTTGCTTCTTTTTTTTTTTTTTAAAGGTACTAGTTCATCTTCTCTGCTGAGTGGGGGAGGCTCCTGCCTCTTTCTATTTCTGAGGGCTTGGGTGACTGGGAATTATTTAGTCCTCGACCACAGATGAAAACACATCAGCATGTCCTGTAAAGGTTGTGATTTTGACAACCTTTTCAATATCTATTGTAGTTAATGCTACTCATTTATTGAGAGCATCTCACTGTTTAAATTAGCACTAATCTGCACCTGGCAGGGAGAGCTGCTCCCTCTGATAAGCTGGGACTAAATGGCTGTGCTCACTTTGATTTATATAAGTGGCAGTCTAGAAAACTATACACGGGGAAATTTTTTCAAAGAATAATTCGTTCTTTAAATTTGTAGTTTCTTATTTAGTGATTTTCCAGCTAATACTTTATTTTTTTCTTAAAAAATACTATCAAGATCGATTTAATGCTGTCCAAATATTCTTGGATGTGTGGTCTTCCACTGGAGTGACGTTTTTCTCCTTACCAAATCTTTGTTTGTGGGTCTCTTCACATAATATTGGTAAAGATAATCTTTAAGAGATTGAATGAAAAGTTAGTGTATCTTGTAACCTTGGGGGGGGTGTCCAAGTAATCAGACAGTCAGGAATACCCTTTTACCTTTCCCCCAAAGTATCCAAATGCTAAGTTATAAGCAACCTGGGGAAGGATTTGCATGTTCTTTTCTGCAATGCACATTGGTCCACAATAATAGGAAGGTCCAGTCTTCAGCGGAGGAAACAGGCCTGCTTCACTGTGCCATTCTTGCATTTATTCCGTGCACATAGCCCTTCCAGCTTTCCCGAGTGCCAGAGGCCACTTGTGTGGCCACAGGCTTCTCATAGGAGTTACAAGTTTGTGTCCACTACCCACTTTAAAGACCTTTTGTCAGCCAGTGGCAAGAAAGAAGCGTAGCTTCATTATAAAGCCGCCAATCACCTCAGAGATGAGGCAAAAGTGAGGCATGAAATTTACTCGCTGTTCTAAAAATCATTTCCATATCCATATATATTTTTTAAGTTTTTTGAGACATGGTTTCTCTGTGTAACTTTGTAGACCAGGCTGGCCTTGAACTCACAAAAGATCTGCCTGACTCTGAGTACTAGGATGTGCCACCACCGCCTAGGTTCCATATCCATAATTATGCAACGTTCCCATGCTTGGTGTTGTGTTTTTGTTTTATTAGTGTTTATATTTAATAAATAAATATTTAGTTATTGGTATTTAAGGAATCACCTTCTAAGGACTAAAAATAAGTTTTGTTTATTTTGGCAACTTACACTTTTATTTTCACAAGTGAACTCCTTCATAATTTGGGATTACTTTGATGCTCATTTGCCCATCTGTTTATTTCATATAATCTCCTAAAGAAGGATGCTTGAGTTCTTATTTTCTCTGGCATTGACCCGTCATCTCACCTTGGTTCTCATTGCTGTACTTTCAACTCAGGTGAATAGTGGAGAGTCTTAACATTTTATGTGGGTAGATTTTAAAGGGGCTATCTCTACGCACAATTCCTAGCTTACTATATTGATGTTGGAGAAGCTTTAGAACTTGTTAAATTTGTTATGACTTAAGTTGTGGCTACTCTGTGGATGTTTCTGCACGCTCAAAGAGAATGTGTCTTTTTGCCATTTATTGAGGACAGCTCTATAAGTGACACTTCTTAATTGTGTAAGTTAGATGGTCTTTCACCTGTGTCAAACTATAATTATTTTATGAACTATACATTTAGCCATTCACTGTTATGTGTTTGTTTTCTCCTTGAGTTCTATTACTATATATATATTTCCAAACAATATTGTTAAGCTTCTGTTGTTTGTAACTATTATATATTATTGCTCAATTAAACCTTTTATCAGCATCAAATCCTCCTCTTAGTTTTGTCTACTGCTTCTTACCTGGAATTTTACTTCTATGGACGCTGTGACTGTTGCATGTACATGGCAAGCATTGCTGGTATCTCCGTTTCCCATCTCTTTATCCTCACTGTCTTTGGGTCACTTTGTTTTACTGTATCTATTACACATATTCTTGAGCCAGAATTATTTTTATTTATTTATTTATTTGCTTTTGTCTTTTGACACAGGGTTCCTCTGTGTAGTCCTACCTGTCCAACTCACTATGTAGATCAGGCTGGCCTCAAACTCACAGAGATCCAACTGTCTCTGCTTCCCAAGTGCTGGGATTAAAGGTGTGTGCCACCATGCCTGGCTAGCATTTTTTTTTTTTTTGCGCCAGCAGTAGACTATCAATCATTAAAAATTGTGATTATTTAGCCTGGCGGTGGTGGCACATGCCTTTAATCTCAGCACTGGGGGGGGGCAGAGGCAGGAAAATCTCTGAGTTTGAGACCAGCCTGGTCTACAAAGCTACACAGATTAAACCCAGTCTCGGGGAAAAAAAAACAAAAAGAAAAAATTGTATTAATTGTATGAATTAATAAGTTTCACTGTGAAATTTCTATATATGCATGTATCATGCCTAATCTTTATTTTTAAAGAATTTAAAATTATTTTTGAGTGTGTGTGTGTGTGTATGTGTACATGTGTGGTGGTCAAAGAACAACTTGCAGGAGTCAATCTTTCCCTTCTCCTACGTGGGTCTTGGGGAAATGAACTCAGGTTGTCCCTCTTGCCAGAAAGCACCTTTACCCATTGAGCTATATGGCTGGTCTAATGCTTGAATTTTTAATGGAAATTTTAAACAAGCTCAATTTTTAATATTTTGTATTATCTTTTTTCTTCCTTTTAACTTTATTTTTCTAATTTTTTTATTTATTTAGGTGTCACTTTTGCCCTTCTTTTTTGATAAACCATTGATGTTCTCCTTGTCCAGTGTGCTGACCTAGTGGTTTACTTTCAGGCACCACTGAGCTACATATACACTCTCCTTCCTCTGCTTTGGAATGTATGCATGCAACCTCTATGTATCTAGTTGTTGACTTTTAATATTTAACATACACGTTTACAAGCCCTTTATTCCTGTCACACAGATGAGTCACACTGTGAGTCTCATCTACTGAGATGGCCACATGGCTTTTGCCCTTCATTCTGTCATTGTGCTGTGTCACTTCTTGATTTGCATATGGAGGACCACACTGACATCCCAGGTTTGAATTCCACCTGTACACAATGATTGATGCTTGCATTGTACTGTTCAATGAAGTCTGCTGGTATTCTGTTGAGGATTCTTTTGTATTTACATTAATTAAAGATATTGGTCTATGACGGTGGTTCTCAATCTGTGGGTCGCAATCCCCTTGGGGGTTTTAAGACCGTCAGAAAACATAGATATCTACATTATAATTCCTAACAGTAGCAAAATTACAGTTTTGAAGTAGCAATGAAAGTAATCTTATGGTTGGGGGTCACTACAACATGAGGAATTGAATCAAAGGGTCACAGCATTAGGAAAGTAGTAATCACTGGCCTCGTTTCCTTTTCTTGTAGTGTCTTTGTACAGTTGGTCTAAACAAACAAACAAACAAACAAAAACAGCTTGAAGGAATTTCCCTTTCTTCAACATTTTGGAGTTTTTATACTTTGCAAACCTTTAAGATCTTTTTTTCTTATTGTTGGCATTCTAGCATTCTAAAAAGTCAGTATAAACAAACAGTTAAGGCTATTTGGAGATAAGATTGACAGAGGGAACTGCCATGGAATTCAAACTAGCTTTACTCATGATCCCGCTGCCCCAGACTTCTGAGTTCTGAGTGTATACGCATGAGCCACCACCTCCGGTAGGTCAAAGATTTTTCTGTTAGCCTATTCTTCACTTAGCAAGTTATTTCAATCTGAAGGCTTACTTCTGTTTTGAAATTTTATTGGATCAGCCTGGTGTTTTACTCTCCTCATTTCCTCTGTTCTTGTCTGGAGTTTCTATTCCATGGTAGGCTTCTATCTCTACTCTCTTTGTCTTAAGTTTTACTTCATACTTCATTTTTCTTTGTACTTTGGTTATATAGTAAGGGAACTTCAGTTGATATTTCAGCTCATCAATACATTTTTATTTTTTTTATTTTTTTATTTTTTTTGGTTTTTCGAGACAGGGTTTCTCTGTATTGTTTTGGAGGCTATCGGTCTAGCCCAGCCTCGAACTCACAGAGATCCGCCTGGCTCTGCCTCCCGAGTGCTGGGATTAAAGGCGTGCGCCACCACCGCCCGGCCATCAAATACATTTTTAGATGTATCCTTTCTGCTATACAGATATTTAAAAATATTTTAGAAAGGAAAATAAAAATATTTAATCTTTGTATTTTCTCTTCATCTTTGACTTGTTTAATGATGGTTGCTGTCATCATTTCTTCTAATTTAGCAGAAGTGGTAGTCTTTAGTCACCCTAACAATGTGAACTGCATTTAATTTAAAATATTTCGGACCTGTTCCCTCCTTTTTCTTCCCTGTGTGCTCATTTATTTGTGACTTGAGCATGACACAGACACCTCTCCTTCCCCATGTCAGCTTCCTCAAATATTTTAGGATTATTCTCAGTTGCTCTTTGTGACCCAGAACCCAGCTCTCTGAATAAAGTCTTTATCAGTGAGCCCCCTGGGGGTCAAGGACTAAAGGCAAGATATGCGGAGAGGCCCGGTGGGCAGTTTCTCTCTTGAGGGCAGGGTCCCTGACAGGGAACACCCTGCTGGGTCTTTCAGACTCCAGAGCCCTGGGGTGAGATGTCAAATCTGCTGTCACAGTTTAAGAGCACAGCAGGGCTTCCCCTGAATCAAGTCCCAGAGGGACCTATGGGTTCAAGTAGTGGCCCAGGAGCAGTGACCCAGCTCTCTCCTGTCCCTTGTATCTGTTGACACTGGGATTGGAGAAGCTCCAGGCTGCTCTCACAGCCTCCCTTTTCTCAAACTGTCTGGAAATGTGCTACTCTCGTCTCATTCTTTTGAGAACTGAACCTCAACCTCATCTCCTTTCTTCCATTTAGAAGTTCCTCAACACTTCTAGTCCACTCGGAGCACTCTCTCATCTTTTTCTTTTCCATCTCCAGCAGCTATGGGTTTGTTCTTTGAAAAGGTATTTTCTGCCACTAAGAACTTTAGGAGAGAGAGAAGAGAGAGAGAGGAGAGGAGAGAGACAGAGACAGACAGAGACGGACAGAGAGGGACAGAGACAGAAATCAGTGGACAGTTTGAGGTCTGTGACCATCTCCTGCATTTGAGTGTGGCACAGGCTTACGCTGTGAAATGGCAGATTTACAATAAATAGCCTTGCATTCTGGTGGTGTGTGATTGGGAGGCAGTGATGCCAGGCTGATGTTAAGGAGACCCATCATTTTGATAAATGCATTTTGAGCAGTAATAAACATGGGTGTGGGATTAGGTTCTGTAGAGGTGGTGGTGGTAGCATCAGCTGACAGCTTTTCTCCCCATATGCCTGGAAAAGGGCCTTAAGGACCTTGGAGACAAGAGAAATAGCCTATCCACCAGCCGGGGACTAGATGGAGTCTCAGAGTGTGACATCATGCAAAATGAAGTTGAGAAGATGAAGCAGATAAGGGGATCATGGTGATCCAAGAGAACAAGAAGATGGTGGTGTAAGAGATGAACTCTGGGTAGTGTGAGAAAACCCCCTCCCAGCCACACCCATGGAGGCAGATTTCCAAGAAGTACGGAGTCTAAAGGATGACTTGCTAAGCATATTGTCAGAGAAGGTAGACACGTTGCTCATGGTCAGTGTGCCGAGGCTTGCCTATGCCCCAGTTCAGATGCCAAGCCACCATGCTTTTGGTGTTTAACTCTGACCCGACAATGGCTGGGGTCAGGGGACTCCCAGATGACATGTGTGGTGCCTTGTGACTGTGCATGGGTAAATGACAATGTGACTTCCTGGCCAAGAGGGGAGAAGATGCCATTCTTTTCCTGTTCCCTCGTTCTCCAAGGGAAGGGCTATCATCCTGTAAGTGTGCATGTGTACACCTACATCATTAGAGACCCACCTGAAGGGCAGTGATCCTGCAAGTGTGTGTGTGTGTGTGTGTGTGTGTGTGTGTGTGTGTGTGTGTATACCAGCGTCATCAGAGACCCACCGGAAGAGCAGTGACCCTGCAAGTGTGTGTGAGTTTGTATGTGTGTACCTGCGTCATCAGAGACCCACCTGAAGAGCAGTAGCACAGCCTGTGGGAACGTCTGGAAGTTGTTGTTCCGATTGATCTCTGTGGTGTCATTCAGGGCGATCTTACCAAATACCTGAAGAAAGAGGAATTCAGGGACCAGAGAAGGACAGCATGTTCATCTCCTGTCACTGTCTAACAGCCTCTCTGGGACTATCAGGCCAAGCAGTTTCTGATGTGACTCAGCAGACATTTGCTGTCCCATGATCCCGGACCCCTGCACACAGGAAAGGTCTCCCACCCAGGGAAGCTGGGGCAGAGGTCAGGGCGCTCCATGTAGGAACCAGGGCTCACTGTCTTCTCGACTTTGTATCTTCAGGCACCAAGTACACAGTTGATGCTTGGATTTTGCAGTGATAGTGAATGGTGGTCCAGAGCCTGGACAAGCTTCATTCATTCCTGACGTCACCCCAAACTGGGCACATCGAAAGTGCACAAAGCAGAGGATGCTGGTGGGGCACACCCGCTCTCTGCTGTCTCTCAATGAGGCTGTCCTCTCCTGAGGCCCACTGCTTAATTTATGAGTGAGTTCCCACTGCAGAACCCAAGCAAGCAGGGATCCCTGTGCTGTCTCTTGCCCATAGTCTATGGCATGTCCTCTTAGGGAAGTTCCAGCTCTTTGAAGGTTGAGTGACAGGCAGGAACACAAGTCAGAAGAGAGGGTACAGCGCTGGGGGCTGGGAAGAGATCAAGGAGGCAGAGTTTCTCATACCTGCATCCCAATCACTGCATAGATGAAGAACAGCATCACGATCAGAAGGGCCACATAGGGCAGGGCCTAGAAGGAAGCACAGAGGGACCATGAGACCCTGGGCGACAGGCCAGTAGGGTCCTTTCCCAGAAAGCATTGCAGTCCCAGCCACAGCATTCACTGCTATTTAGCTTAGGAGGACTGAGCTCTAGGGGGAGAATCTGAGAGGTGAGATCTGGCTTCCCATATCAGCTATCTGTCTGCCTGTCTGTCTGCCTGTCTGTCTGTCTGTCTGTCTATCTATCTATCTTCATCTGTCATTATCTATCTTCATCTATTTTTCATTATCTGTCTATATCTATCAATCTCTCTCATATATCTATCTGTTTGTCATCTGTCATCTATCTACCATTTGTCATTATCTATCTATCTGCAACTATCTATCTATCTTCATCTGTCATTATCTATTTTCATCTATTTTTCATTATCTGTCTATTATCTATCAATCTCTCTCATATATCTATCTTTCTGTCATCTATTTTTTATCTGACTATATTCATCTATCTATCTATCTATTATCTATCTGTCTGTCTATCTATCTATCTATCTATCTATTATCTATCTGTCTGTCTATCTATCAATCATTTGTCATCATGTATGTATGTATCTATCATCTGTTATTACCTATCTATCATTTATCTATCTCTCTATCAATAATTATCTGTATCTATCTATCTATCTATCTATCTATCTATCTATCTATCTATCCATCCATCTCCTAGGAATGGAGCTGATGCTGAGGGTCTCTACCACTGAGTCCTGGTCATGCTTCAGAGTGATGGAGGAGGCATATTGTTTACTGAAAACAATCAAGGAGCATCCCTCCTCGGACTACAGTTACATATTTGCACAAAGAAAGAAGGGGTGATGGAAATTACCCAACAAGACCACCGTAGTCACCAGGGAAAAGTGGGAAGGAGGCAGCTTATACCCTGCCTTTATGCAGTTACTTTCATATAAATGAGCAGTCAGCACTATTGCTATGATAAGCAGTTAATAAGGAGAAATGTAAAAAACAGTCATGGGTTCTCACGTTGCTGCCCTCACTTTCCAGCTCTGGAGCCTGGACATGTTACTTAACTTCTCTGGATCTGTTTCCTGATCTGAATGCATCACACTTATACCTGGCAGGGACTGTGGCATTTAAAGGATCTAAGGCTTGCGAAATACATGACACATTAGCATAAGCATATACATAATTAGGTTCCACAAAGTTTGCTCATTCAGTATACTCCCTAAACAGAGCCATGGCCAATTTGGAGGAGGCACTGATGATATCACCACCTTTTGTGAGATCATGGAAACGTAGCTTTGTGGCTTAGGAAAGATGCTGCCCGTTTACCACTAGATGGCACCGAGAGATCACACAATTTTTAAAGGCTGGTGGGCTCTCTTGCTCCCTGATCAAGTCCCATTCTTCAAGGTCACCCTAGCCACTTCCCATTACAAGGAAATGTTGGGGTGTCTCAGGGGCCAAGGCAGGACCAGCCTAGAAACCTGCCTTCATCGTGACCGGAGAAGGGTCCAGGAGTGGGGGTGGGGGAGCTGCAGCTTCTCCTTAGAGGTCGAGAGGCCAGCAGGGTGGGACACGATTGGAAGAACACTGGACCTGTGTGCAGCTGGGCTGGACCTTGAGGCCATCAGAGAGCTTTGGGTGGCAGTGTCCACAGAGCTGTGAGTTTGGAAGGGGTCTCCAAACAGGGCAGGCAAGTCACCACTACAAGATAACTGTCCTCTGGGTACAATCCCCACTCTGAGCACATCTGGATGGAGACAGACCCCACACCCTATTTGAACTTGCTAGCCTAGATGCAGGGTCTAGGGAAGTCTGAGAGTGGACTTGTGGGAAGAGGCTGGCTTTTTTGTGTGGTGTCTGGGAAGCACAGTTAGGAATTTCTACAGACCTTTCCCAGGAGTCCAAGCGCCTCAATGGCTTCGCTTCTCGTGACCTTCACACTTACACCGCACTCCTCAGGACTGGTCTTACACCCCCTTTTTCTAGTAAATTCTCTGGAAAGTGTTGAACCCTGGATTTTGTAATCACAGGTCTACTCCCTTCAGAATCACATTGCCACCACACACTCACACAGTCACTTAGGACAGCATGAGGGCCAGCTCCGGCCAGACCGGGGCCCTGAATGCTGTGCTGGAGCTGTTTCTTTCCCGGTCTGCCCTTTGTGGGGGGGGGGGTCCTAGAGAAAGTGACAGTGGGACACTAGGTCATTCCACTTCCTGGGGCAGTGGAGGCTGTCTCTCTACCAGCTGTACAAGGGGGAGGTGGCATGGCTACCTGGAAGGACTTGATGAAGGTCCACAGCAGGGTCCGGATGCCTTCCCCACGGCTCAGCAGCTTCACCAGGCGCATGACCCGGAAGAGACGGAAGAAGGTGATGGAGATGCGGGAGTTCTCCTCTGCGCTCTAGAACCCGTTGGCAATAGGGGGTGCAGTTAACACAGCAAGAAGGCGGGGCAGGAAGGGATCCTCTGAGAAACAGCCATTGGTTGAGAGGAGGCAGGCCAGGGTGGGGTCAGCTGCACTAGACTCTTTCCTTAGGCTCCAACTCCCTGTTTCCGAGGTGCGAGGCCAGCGCATTTCTTTCCAGGTCGGCAACCTATCCCAGGGTGTCTGCTAGACACAGCTCTGGGCCCATGCCTTGTTTTCCTGTCCTCCCCTTTCCCATAATTCCTAGCTCTTCAACTTTTACATGCTGTGGAATCTGGGCTGAGAGCACTGCCCTAGAGGCTCCTGCCCTCCTGTGGTGGGAGAAAGCAGCCCTGCAGCCCCTATCTTGCCAGCTGGGAGTACTGCCTCGTGAGTGGAACTCTGCTCTACCAGGCTGTCTGAAATAGCCTCTGAGCATGCCTTGGATGCTCAAGTCTCACTTCTCCCTGTCGCCACTTTCTTCTTCCCATGGTCCTGCCCTAAATGGCTGCCGGAACGGTGGTAGTGGCTTGCTGTGTTATAACGGGGGAGCCACAGTCCCATGCCTCACTGCAGCCTCTGGAGTTGCTGTCCATCCAGGGTCCTCAAGGCATGGCCTCGGAGGTTGTAACCTTTCCTAGAGGTCCGTGGTCTGGAGGGACTGGCGACACCAGCAGGACAAGGCAGGAGAGGCATCCTGTGCACTGAGTCCTAGACAAGGCTAAGCCTGGTACACGACCACTATGGGTGCCACTCAGGGTATCTTTGGGATGCCCTTGGGCAGAGAAAGAGACAGAGGCAGCATTGAGGTAGGGAGGCTGAAGTGGGGTTAGAATTCTTGGGCTGCTGGGAATCTGTGGCCAAAGGTTCACCACTGGCTACTTGGTTGGGAGGAGCCTAAGAGTGTGAACACACACCTAGCCAGGTCTCTGGGGCAGGAATGTCTCTTTTTGTCCCCATACCTGAGCACAAAAAAAAACCAAACCAAAACCAAAAAACAACAAGACCAAAAACCAAAAAGCCCAACTATACCCTTGGCCCTCCTGCTCATGTGAGCAACTGGCTGTGTTCCAAAGTTCCAAGAGCTGCTGGGAGCTCTTCCACCTTCCCCAAAGCTAGTGCAGCCTACCCAGCCCTGCTGGCAGCAGCACCAGGAGAGAAAGGACCCTAGAACTTCCTGTTATGGCTCCCATCCCAGGACCCCTTGAAGGAGGGGTCTTCTGTTGCTTGATCTCCTGTTCCTGCCCTTCAACTTGTCCTCTTGCTATGCTTGGCAGTGTTTCTAGCTCAGGCCCTCTCTGACAGCACCATGCCAGTCTGTACCCTGGAATATTCCTTAGAGCTAAAGTTCTGGGGCTCCATTCAGTTCTTTCTCTATGGCCTCTGTACCATTCCTGAAGGTGGGATGGCTTTATCTCAGTTCTATCAGGAAGGGTGCTTGTAATGAACTTTATGAATATGCAAGGGGCAACAGGCTGGGGCGATGAGACATTCAATCACCATGCCAACGACCACCTCCCAATCGAGGCAGGATAGTTTGGGGCAGATTTTCTAGATCAGCCCCACCCTCCATACTGGGAGGGCTCTGAAGAAAGCAAGCCAAGAGAGTTTTGGTTTTCAGACCCTCCAGATTGGACAAGAGTCAAAACATTTCTTATATTTTAAAATTGGAGCTACTCCAATTGCTTTAAGGTTCTTAGCCTTGCCAGGCAATGGACAGATTCATAGGTACCAGGACCTCCTAAGGCCTGCAATGCTGGCTGCTGGTCCTACCCAGGAAGACTTTGGCTCCCTTAGTGTCAGCTTCTGTTTGCCTCCTCTAAGTTCTATTTTCTGTCCTTAGAGGAAGGTTTGCTCCCCAGAGGATCGTACAGGGAGCTCAGAGCTTCTTACTACCTGCCAGGCCTACCATGTTTAAGCAAGGAGAAAAATACCCACAACAAAACAAAACAAACACAACAGAACAAGCTTAAGTGGGGGACTTCCACTGTGGGTGTCAAGCATTTGTGAAGCTGGGACATCTAGGTTTGATGAATTAAAAAAAATAAAACAAAAATTTCCTAGGCAGCCTTTTGGCCAGCATGGGCCGCTATGGGGATCACAACTACATCTCTATCTTTCAGGGCCTTGGGGGAATCATTAGCCTGGTTTGAAAGGGGGAAGCCATTGCAAGGAGCTTAGAGGTCATACGGGAAGGCACGTCTACCACTCAAACAAAAGAAACATACACTCTTCCATCAGGAGTGGTCCAGTTGGTTTGCTTTTCTGCTTCCCACATATTACAGAAAAGTGGTTCTAGTGCAAATATAATGGACTTGAGGAACCAGGAAAGATGTGGTTACAGGCTTAGGGCTACAGTAGAGAGACTATCGGGCTACCCCTGTGCCACAGAAAACGCCAGCTTGTGCCTCTCATACAGCCTTCCACACTTAGCCAGGAGAAGCTGGTAGTTACAGAGCTGATTAGAACTGCCTTCCCTTCTAGCTGGACCTCACCTCCACTTTTGTCTTTCCCCTGGCGCCCTAATCACAGTTCTCAAAAGTATCCTTCACAAATTCCTACATTAGATGAAACACAAAGTCCTTGGGACGTTTAACAGGAAGTAGCATGGGTCCAGTTCTCTCCCAGTACATCACGGTGACTCACCACCCAAAGGAAGCTCGGGGAAGTAGAGGAACACCACTGTACACACACCCTTGCACAGCTCGCGTGAGCACAGGCAGGTAAGGCACACAATGGACATGGTGGCCACATGCAATGGGAGCTGGGCTGGGCTCCCAGGGCTCTGGAAGTTGGGGTGAATAAGAAGTGGTGGCTAGAGGGGGCCACGGAAGCTGGGAATGTGGTCTGGAGGGTTGTTCTTACCATAGAGGGAGAGCATTGAGTATGTTCAGCTGGCTTTAAAGAAAGGCAGACAGAGATAAGCTGTAATGAGTCTCCAACGAAGAGCCTGGTATTCTAGGTCTTGGCTAACAGAGGAACAACACAGTGGTAGGAGAGGGCATAAGGAAACAAGTGAAAGAAATACACAAGTGTGGGCCTGGCAGGGTGAGGGACACCAGTGAGAACATGGGCTCTGTGTCGGTAGGCCACATGGCCAACAAGGACCCACAAAATTCTCCTGTCCTATTCAGTGACCGCCTCTGGCTATGAGTGAAATAACTCAGCCCTGACACAGAGGAGGAAATGAGCTCAGTTTCTGTTTATTTTGTGTTTTCAGTTAGTCTGTTTCAAGCTAACCTTCTAGGACTTCCACTTTCTACACTCTAGCCTTCTTTATGAAGTGCTGGGCCAAGGGACAAACCCTGGTTTGAGAGTGTGCCAATCATTGTCCACTCATACACAGTTTTTTTTTTTTTACGAGACAGGGTTTCTCTGTATTGTTTTAGAGGCTGTCGGTCCAGCCTGGCCTCGAACTCACAGAGATCCGCCTGCCTCTGCCTCCCGAGTGCTGGGATTAAAGGCGTGCGCCGCCACCGTCCGGCCACTCATACACAGTTAAACAAAACATCTCCAGGCTGACAGCCCCTCAGCTTAGAGAAAGCTGAATTCTGGTTATGACTAAAGAAGATGCAAGGAGGTAGCCCGCGACCTCTCCAGAAGGAGCTTTCTCTAAAAGACCAAGCTCAGGATGGACATGGGCTTGCTTAGAGCTCAGATTAGCGAAGCGGGGCCCCTTGGCCATTGATGTGGGAGTAGGTTGAACTGCTTTTTAATCCTGAAGGCCTTGTACACAATTTCGGATGTAATCATAGTGTCCCAAGAAGTTGTTTTCCAGGGTTAGACTGCTGAACTTGTTTGGGGACAAGAGCTCACAGGAACACCTCAGACCTCTCATCTCCCAGTTTCCCTAGTAATTTTCCCAGCACTGGCTCTGGCATACAGCAGTCACATCTGACTGATCTCACCCATTGGTGTTGTAGCCTGGCCTACACCATCTACTTTCAGATGTTGCCCCTGTGTTTGTTTTTAAGGTGCAAACAAGGAAACATGTAATGGGACTTTTGAAGGAAAGAACTGTTCATAATTAGATATTTTCTTGAAGTCTGAAAATAACTTCTTGGTAACATAGTTCTAAACAATTAATTTTAAAAAATTTCCCACAGAGAGTTGGTTTTGATGGTTTTGGGGGATGGTAGAGAGAGTGAGTCAGGGAGGGGGATGGAAGGGTGTTCTCCAGTCATTTATAGAACTCATTCTATGTTTGTGAAAATTGCCAGCTGCCCAGACAGTCTACATGGCTAGAGGGGATGGGTCAGTAGGATTGGCTACTGGGTTGATAGGAAACACATAAACAGATAGACGGACGGACGGGGACACACACACACACACACACTCTCTCTCTCTCTCTCTCTCTCTCTCTCTCTCTCTCACACACACACACACACAGAGGATTTTAAAGATTCACTGGCCATGGTCATCTTCCCCCCTGATGCTATTTTACTTGGCCTTTTGTTGGTTGGATTAAGATATCATCTACTTAAGTTATATTTTACTTCAAAATTTAGGCCTAGGTCTGATTTCTTCTCTGGTATTTTATTGTTTTAGTACCATTCTCTAGCTTGACATGCCTTAGGTGGTGTTTTCACAGCAGAAGACAAAATTTCAGGGCAGCTTGGGGATGAGGGCTCTCTGAGATCTTGTGTCCTAGGCTCCCCAGCCCAGGTGATGACAACTTTGCAAAAAAGGCTGAGAAACTCTGGGGTAACTTTTTCTTGAGTCTTAAAGCCCTACTACCCAGAAGGCTGCTGTTTGGCTGCAGTTTTGTCTTCTTAGCATCTCCCACACACCGTGCTTACATGGTCTCAGAAATAATCATTCACAACAGAGTCAGGCCGCAATCATGGAGTAGGTTCTGTGTGGGAGGAAGCCTAGGCAGGCCAGATGCTGATCCCTAGACAACCTCATGGGATCATCTGGGTCTTCAGTATCTTTCTAGCTGCAAGGTGTGCTACATAGCAGGCCTGGAACCACTGACACTGGATGCCCATGATGCCCCAAGCTAAGCAGTTTAAGCCTATGGTCATGTCTGTCTTGTTTGCTACTTTGTGAATTTCTCCTATTTGTAGGGGTGGACACATAGTAGGCAGCAGTTTCCATGGCCAGACTTTTCTCCATTGTAGGAAGGAACTGGAGGCAGTGAGGGAGCTGACAGGCTTCATCAGGGAACCAGTGAGTTGTGTCTGTGGGTCTGTGCTTGCAAGGAGTCGAGGGGGAAAGACAGAACCAAGGATGGCAGTGAGGGAGACCTGGAGCGAGTACCACGGCCCATCCTTTCCTGAAACTAACCCCAGCCTCTGTGTCCTCCTCCTGTTTTCTCTCTTTGTCTCTTGTCCCTGTTGATCTCCCACGCAATGCTCTGTGTGAGCTTTTCAGTAGTATCCAGCATCCCTTGGCTAAGCATCAACACAGGGAAGCTGGTAAGCAGGTCTGTATAGGTCAGTTGCAGAAAGTACCAGATGAGGGAGGGTCCTTGAGCAGCAGAAGCCACAACCCCCTACTTTCAGTGATGCTGTGCTGACTGATGACATCTCAATATGTGGCTGTAGCTCTGTGGGAGTGTAAACGTTGATTGATAGGGATGGCTTGAATCACAAATTTGTCACCAGTTATCTGTAAGACTTTGGAAGACTGCTTGCCTTGCCTAGATTTCATGTGTGCAAGGGTGCAAGGCGGGGGGGGGGGGTTTCCTGAGGTCTTCATTAAATCATGAGTCATGTAGTTGTCCTGATGACTGACATGGTCAAGGATTAGATCTTATGTTACCCCTTTTTCCTTTTCCTCCTAATCAGTCAATGTCACAGAAAATGACATCAATCCTTAGTTTATTTTCCTGTTCTGGCCATTTCTGTGGTCCAACATATCAGCCTAGTAACTCCTCCATATTTCTTCCCCTTAACTTCCCTAGGATCCCCCAAGGGTTGGAGTTCTTTCCCCAATACTATCCCAGTGGCTGCAGCTCTCTCTGGTGTAGTCTTTCTTGCCCCTGCCTCTGTATAGTCCCCACACAAGCCACACCGGAGTCCAGTAGGGCTGAGGACCCTGAGGACCTGGAAGCCCTTGGAAAGAAACAACCTCACCAGACTGTAATTACAGAGGCCAGGAATTACAAGAGACTCTCTGCCTTCCCCATCCAACTCCCACCACATTCAAATAAATTGAGGCCTAGGGACCTGGGCTAATTGCCCTAAGGCACCTGGTTCCTGGTGCCAAGGCTGGAAACATAATCATGGCTTCCTACTATACAATTTGAAAATAGCTCTTCACATCCATAATGAGAGAAATGAGGTCTTCTGGCACTTTTTGTTGTTCAAAATCCTTTCATAGGCATCATGAAAAAGTGCTTGGGAAGGCTGTTGGTCACACCCCCAAACTGATTCCCATTTGGGAGATCAGGGAGCACTCTGGGAGGGGGGTGCTATCAGAACTTCCATGGACAACCATGGAACAGTTCTAGAAAGTATGATTTCATACCCCAGGACTGGAGAAAATACAAGGCTCCACCAGAGTGGAGTAACACCACAGGTCTCACAAAGGAAGAACAGCGCAGATTTAGGCAAGGTGATGAGCTAGGGAGAAGGGCAGAAGCCTGGGTCGGAGACAGTGTTACAAGACAGAGTGGGGACTCAGAGTGCTACTTGTGCATAGACTATGCCACTGTTGGGGGGGTGCCATTCCGAATCTCCAGAGTTCAAAGCTGAGGAGAAAAAGGAATATAAATACAAAGTGGCTCTGAACATAAATGTCCCCACCTGTTCATGCCTGGAGCCCCTGACCAGCCCTCTTTGAACCTCCTTTCTAGAATGCAAACCCATGAATGTAGAGCCTTTTTGGACACAGATATATCCCAGGTGGCCAAAGAAGTGCCTAGCCATAGAAAGAGACTATGAGCATACAGAGTTGAGTGGATACTGACCCTTAGAATTGATGAAAAGTACATTTCCTGGGAGGGAAGGGCATTCAGCTGGGGAAATCAAGAAGGAAAGGTAGATGGATTTAAATATGTAAAATACTTGTAAGGACTTTAGTCTGTGAGAGGACAATAGCCAGCCATGTCCCAGAGGAGCCTGAGGTGATGGATTGATGGGGAAGTCCTGTGTATATGTCAATAAAGCACTGTTGGCCAACAGGGAAGCAAGATAGGTGGGACTAGCCGCTGACAAGAAAAAGACTTCTCTCTCTACAACTCTACAATGGGTTACAGGTGAAAAGTCATCTTGGACAGCTTCTGGATATGCTTGTGATGCTCCTGTGTCCCTAGAGAAATATGGGAAGGACTGGGGTGTAGCGGCATCTTGCTTTGCCAGTGCACTTGCGGTGGTGGACATATCCTAGAGGTATGGCTTCAAATGTGCAGACATGACTCCTTATAAGAAGAAGGAGGGGCTGGCTCACCCTCTTGGGTTGTTATCAGAGCATCAGAAGGGCAGACACTGAATCTTCATGGGATATTTCAGTCAGTAAGCAATGTATGTTTTTGAGAATTACAGATTATAGTTACCCATGCTTCTTATACCTAATGATGTTAGTCAGTTTCTCTGTGTACTCAGAGATGTAGCCAACATAGATATTTGATCTTCAAACACTTCAAAGACCTACAGAATATGACATTCAAATGTTTTAATAATTTAGGACTCGGTTAACAGACACAATTGCTCCTAACAGCACTGAGATAGTCCCTAGAGTATGATGGGCACTGATGGCACTCCATTCAGAGTTAATTTTCTTCTTGGCAATACTGACCTTTTGGACAAAGGACTGCCCCTGCTTCAACCACTGACATTGGACATGCTGTCCTAACTGAGCAAGCAGGAGATAATCATAGAGACTGCTGAACCTTGCCAAGTCAGGATAGGACAGTCTCTCAAATTTTTCTGCTTCTGAGATGGTCTGTCAGATACTCTAGCCCTCAGTCAAAGTTGGTTGCCCCGACATTACTGTGAGAACTTGGGTGACCGTCCAGGCAGCCAGCTGTTTCTGTCATTTCTTGCACCTTTAGGAAGTCGCACGCTTGTACTTCCTGCTCACCCTAGTAATGTTATTTTCCTTCTCAGGTCTTTGATGAGGTTGAAGACTAGATATTCACAGATAATATCTTCTCATCTTAGCTAGATCAAATTAGACACAAGACTTAAACTTTCTAGAATAGGACAGCTATCAGAGTAATCTCTTATATGCCATTACCCTGGGACTGGACATCTAGTATGTGTTTGTTGCTTAATGCTGCTCTTGCTGGTTGTAGTCTAAATTTGTGTATGTTTATACCTGTCTTTCCCCTTGACTATACTTGATATTTGTTATCATTGCATATAATTTTTATATCAGGCTTTAAAGTCTCTTACTTAGACAAAAGGGGAAATGTAGTGGCATCTTGCTTTGCCAGTCAACTTGTGGTGGCCACATCCTAGAGGCATGGCTCAGGTGTGCAGACATGGCCCCTTATAAGGAAGAGGAGAGGCTGGATCACTCTCTTGGGTTGTGGTCAGAGCATTGGAAGTGCAGAGACTGCATCTTCAGGAACAGGAAGATTGTGGTGGTTATTTACTAATATTTGTGTAAATGCTTCCCTTATAAATAACTGTTTATCATTTATCTTGGGTCTTGTGGACTCATTTAAACCCCACCTTCACTGGAGAAGGTGTTAGGGAAGCAGGATTTCCTGAATTTTCTCATGGGATTCTAAGAAAATCCTAACACTGGCCTTGCAGCTGCTCATTACCTAAAGGCAGAGGAACACAAGCATGGTATTCTTATCATGCAGTTATCCTACTGGCTGCTGTCGGATACATGGCTATCTGGCAATACATGTGCCACAGGCCTGCCAAGTCTCTGGTTGTGTGACTGTTAATGTCTTGCACTTTCTATGATGGATGTACCTGCTGGCCACCTCCAGGAATCTCATTAATAGATCTGGAAAAGGGGGCACTCTTGGTGTGTGTGGGCTTGGTATGGGCATACCAAGAAGATGGTCTAGTTAGAGGCAGGTGTTTTGATGGGATTTGCTTGGATGCTTTCAGTTTTACTTCATAGACCTTTACAGTTGACAAAGGGCTTTTAAATCGGTGCTTTTATGTGAGCAAACATCTATACACACATATATTTTATATAGGGAACTGTATATTTGCTTTGTCTTTATTTTCACTGAAAACAGAAATAGAGATGTTATAGCAGGATGAGAGCTGGCTTTTGCTAGTAGTACAAGAACCCCAGAGGAACTTCTGGGGCTACAATGGGTCTTCTACCATCATGGGAAGCAGGCAGCCATCCTTCCCTGTGTTTTCCTACTGCAGATATCTGCATTGTTTTCTGTACCAGTCTTAACTACTGTCTAAGTACAGATGGCAAAGTCCATGCCTCAGTCTTTCTTTTAACTGCTCTCCCTGCAGGACCCTCAAACCAGCAGAGTACATGATATATGTGCTAAATGTAGAGTGTGGCCTTTAAGTTCTGAGACTTAAATAACAACAGGAATATAACTTAGGGTTCACACAGACTGCATGTTGGGAGTCTACTCAGAAAGGAAGCTAGCAGCAGTTGTGGAAGACTGATTTTGTTTGTAATTATCTAAGGGTTTACTGGAAGGAGTCAAGCCTGTACATGCATGTACACACACACACACACACACACACACACACACAGACACACACACATACACTGAGACAAAGACAAACTCTTAGAGACAGAGGGGCAATTGAGGCTGGAGCTATAGGATAAGCAAGGGGGACAAAGGAAGGGACATATGTAGAATGTAAGCTCCTCCTTCTTAAGCACAGTGGCTACACAGAGGAGAATCAAACTGGTGAATGAACATGTCAGTTCAACGTCTTGGGGATGGGCCAGGCTGCATGGAGGTAGTGGGATGTGTGGAGGACAGCAAGAGAATTCCAAACATCTAAGATCATGTCCCAGAATCAGGTGCTCTGTGCTGTTATTCAATGGTTCTATCCGTCAAAGGTTTATGCAAACATTATCAAGTCTCTTATTTATGGAAAAATAATGACAGAAACTAAACAATACATGTTAAGGACTAACAGCAAGAAGACTTGCTTATAGATAAAGAGAGGATACTCAAACATGCCAGGTAACAAGAAGACATGTGTGAGAACTGTATAGAAGGAGGCAGCTCTGGGAAGGAGAGGGCAAAGGGCTGTGGCTATGGGGCCTGCCTGAGGCCAGTGAGCCAGGGGCAGGTTATGAAAGGTGAGGGGAGGGAGAGCAGGCAGGTGCACAGTTCACTCTCTATGATGAGTTTATATGGATATGAGGCTCTTACATGGATCCTGTTTCCATGGCAATGGAAAGACAAAACCCACCCAGAAAGCTCTTAGTAAATCACCCAGCCACCAGGCTCTTTACTGTTCCCAGAGATGGAGAACAAGTAAATCCCAAACACCATCAGTATTTCTCTCCCTCAAAGTGTCTGGCATGGGATACTTATGTTTAGTCAAAGTAGATAGAGTTTGTTCAATGTGAAGGCAATCAAGTAGTTCCTGGGACAGGATAAGCCATGGCTGACAATGAAGGCAAATTCTTAGCCTCAACTCTGGGTGTTTTGCTTTGAGGGCTTGCCTTTTTAGGATGTTATGGGGATGGAAAACCAACAGGAGGAGAGGCAGTATTTGGAGGTGAAGTTTTGGGCTAGGGAAGGTTTGAGTCCCAGCTCCAGCAGTTGTCCAGAACTTGTGAAGAACCCTTCATTTTCTCACTCCATAATTCACACAGCTGCACCCTCCTATACAGTGTGAGTCATGCCAGGCTGATTATAAAGGGAGAGAGAAAAAGATGCAGCAACCAACCAACACTTAAAAGGAAGTCTTAGTGCGTTCCAAAGATTAAAAAAAATTAAAAAGAAATCTCCAAACAAAGCAATAGGAAAAAATAATTTGGACCAATTTAAATAAATTTTAAAAAATGAAATAAAAGTAAGGAGGTGGGACAGCACAGAAAATAAAAATGAAAGACAAAAATAAAGCCACAGAAAATAAAAATGAAAGACAAAAATAAAGCCACAGAAAATAAAAATGAAAGACAAAAATAAAGCAGGGAGAAACAAATGGATGTTAGAGCAGGCAGGGTCAGCTGGGTCACAGACACCATGTACTTACGTGTACCTCGGTGATTGCTATATCAACAATGCTACCCACAACAATCAAGGCATCAAATGTATTCCATGCATCACAGAAATAGTGCTGCATGGGGCAGAAAAGCCAGGAAAGAGAGAAGGGGACAAACCAACAAAAGAGGAGAAAACAAAACAAAGGGAGGGAAATGAAAAAAAAAAACGAGGCATGAAAGAAAGGAGAGAAGAGAAAAAAATGAGAAAAGAAAGAGGTTACGTGGGTATATTAGATACTCTTACCACTCTATAGTTCTGGCAGCTCAAACCTGGGCAACCTGGTTTTCGCAGGATCGAGAGGCCTGACAAAAGCTAGGTTAGTTCCGAGGTGGGTGGGCGACAGCCACCCGGAAGGCAGCCAGTGTTGGCCCAACCAATGTGCAGCCTGTCCCCTCTGCTCAGCTCTGCGCCCTTGGGCCCAGCGTAGCCAGGACAAGTGGGAAAAAAAGGAGAACAGATTTCTGCTTTTTTTCCCCTACATGACGACGGCAGGTTCAATAAAAAGCATGACTGGAGGTGGGTAAAACCAGAAATTAAAAAAAAAACATAAAAAGAGGTAAACAAAGAGTGAGAGAGAGAGAGGAGTAGAGGAGGCAGAAGAGGTGGAAGGACTAGGGTTCCTGGGGAGGGCAGAGCGATACTCACATTAGTCTCACTGAGAATGACATCAATTATGCTCCCAATCACGATGAGGAAGTCAAAAACATTCCAGGGATCACTAAAGTAACCCTACATGAGGGAGGGGCAGGCAGGATGGGGATTAAAAAGGAATATTAGACAGACAAGAACAGAGCAACATCACCATTAGAATCACTGTCCAGGCACCTGAGTGTTGCTGTTGGGAGTTCCAAATGTCAGTGTCTGCCAGGAGCCTGATTGGGTATGAGCAGCAGAGAGACATTCAGTTCAGCCCTCCTGTCCTGCCTTTCATGGGACACATGGTCTGCATTCTCTCTACCTCCTCCACAGGGGACCCTTCCCCTTCCTCAGGGCAGAAGTGGCCATGGGCATAGGGACAAGTGGTGTAGGGTGTGGCTGGATCTACTGTCTATGTGTCATCTCCTCTAGTATACAGCAAATAGGGTATAGTAAACGACCTGTACCCTTAGCCCCCTCTCTAGAAGGACCTATCAGGAGGGATGGAAGTCAGTGGCTGATGTCTTTTGGTTGACAGGGCTGTAATGCAAGCTCAGAGACAACCAAAGGACCAAATCACTCTAACAGTGTCCAGAGTGAGCTGGACCCTGTATAGATGGAATGGGGTTTAGCCTCTTTTCTGCACTGGACATGCCCATCTGTCTCAGGGCAAGTTTGCCTTGTAAAAACTTTCCTAATGGAATTGAAGTGTCTCCTGGTCTAGGAGGGCTCTTTAGAGAGTACCCTCGGGGTGTCTCTTAAGTACCATCCCAGGCTCCTTGACATAAAGTCTCAGTAAAATGAAAATGCTTCCAAAAGTGATGGACATTATCAAGGACTTAAGGACTTCCCTGGGCTGGTGGAGGTGGGATTGGCTGGTGGGTGGGGCTACTGCCTTTTTTAAAAGAGAATAAAGGTAGGAGAGCCTTGTGGATGAAAGTTAGGCTCAGAAGGGAAAGACCAGGTTCCCAACTTTACTACTGTAACCTGTATATGGTTTCATTGTCTTTCTACTTACAAAATGGAAGAAATGAGCCACCATTGAAGGCTTTTTGAAGGATATGGACAACTGTGTGGCCAGGTATCCAGAATGCCCAGAGGGCTGGAGAGACTCCTGGGTGGGCAGCCGCCTTACAAACAGCAAGTGGCATTCTCAGGTCTTGATTATTGTCTCTGTAGGAGTGTGACAGCTTAAAGGACCATGTCCCCAAGACCATACAGAGCATAGAGCCACAGCCTAGGAAACCCCAATAACAGGACAGCTGTGTGCCCCTTAGTGGAATGTAGAGGACGTAGGACCAAGGAGACCTGTTTTCTTAAAAAAATGACATTTGCTCCATTTTTTCCAGGGAATACTCTCCAAAGGAGACAGATTAACATTGCCCATGTTTGCTGGGCAAAGCCACTGCTCCCATGCCCGGGGCTCTCTGGAGACGAATGTCTGAGGTTGGCAAGAGGCTTTGGAAGCAGGAAGAGTATGCAGGGAGCTTCCCAGCTCTCTTCTCGCAAAGGCTGCCACTCTCTTTTGCATTTTTTTTTACTCACAAGAGCTGAGCCTCTGTTCTTCCATCCTCCCTGCTCTACCCAGTTCCCTATATTGCCTGGCTTCCCAGATGTCTCCTTCCACAGTAAACTACAAGACGGGCTGGCCTAAGGCTATTATTCTTAGAAGAGGTCAGGCTCCAAGGAAAAGGGACTCTATGTTCCCAGGCATTTCTGCCCAAAGAAAACCTCTGCTGCCCCAGGAGGCTTTGGGCAGCCAGACTGGGGCGGAGGCTGTCCAGGTCACAGGTCAGATGAGGGTCAGCCTGTGCCAGGGCTCTCTTGCTGGCTTCCTGGAGCAACGCCCTGACTATCTCAGTCGGGGACTTCTCTCTACCAGTTAAGTCACACACTCTAAGCAGGAAATAACCAGTGCACTCCTAGGTTCTTATACACCACTCAGGGTTGGAAGGGGACAGTGGTTTCGGGGAAGGGAGGGTAGGAGTGAATCTCTCAAATGAATCCTAAATATGTGTATGCTTAAAAACTAGATCTTGAAAAATGCTGGAGGCCGTCTCTAAATGTGAGTTGTTTGTCTGGGAACAGAGCTATTTCAGAAGAAATATTGAAGAGAAGTCAAAGAAGAGAAGGGAGAGAAACCGGGCCCAAAGGGACACTGTGGGATGCTCAGCACCAACCTAGAAAACGTGTCAAGCAAGCGTTATTGGGGCATAGAACAGGAGGAGAGAGGAGGGCAGGAGTTGCAGTTTTCACACAAGGCAGTAGAGCTGGAGTCTCCCCGTCCACCAAAGACCTGAAACAAATGGGTGAGTCGGCCATGTCTGCAATACCTCTGAGTGGGGAGAGAGGAGAGGTTAGAAAGCGAAGAGTGGGCTACATGGTGAAGAGCAGATACACAGTTAACCTGCAAGAGCAGATATACACACAGTTAACCTGCTGGTAGGCACCAGGGGAAAGGGCTGAGACTCAAAGGGACTCTGTCAGCCTCCAGCTGTACATCTCTGCTTGCCCCTTCTCTTCGATGTATTTTTTTGTACAGAAAGAAAGAAATGTCTGTCAGTTGTCACCCTCTCCCAGCCATAGCTGCTTATCAGTGGACTGGCTAGGCCTGTGGGGATTAATCACATCTAGTTGCCTGTTCCAGGCTGTGTTGCTGGGGCTTTTGCTTAGTTTCTATGTCCTCTAGGAAATTACCTTGTGGAAACCATTGGGTGCAGAAACCAATTAGTTCCCTTGTTGCCAAAGGCTCTGGTGGAATGCAGAGGTGTCAGCAGGAGGGTGGAGAGTCCCTAGCAGAGGCAGCTTTTCACCATGACCTATAGACCCACATTCCCACCCCTCTGTCCTTTGGCCCATTAGTCCCCTCACTGGACCCCAAGGATGGCTTCAGAGCCAGCTCCCAGGTCTCCACCCCCTTGGTTGGTTTCTTCTTCCCACTATTTCGAGAACCATGGCCTCCCACTTGCCCCACACCGATCCAGAAACAATGCCCATACTCAGTTTGGTAGTAAATAGGTTGTCAAAGGAAACACCTGGCCAAGTCCTTCTATGAGGGGCCTGGAAGAACATTTCATCTATATGCTCTGGTGTGTACGAGTCAAGTGTTTTCTTTCATATTCACACACATATGCACATGTTTACTTCTCCCACTGTTCATTTTTCCATGTGTAATTGAGGCTTGGGGATGTAACAGAGAGGAAGACGGGGACTGTTACAAACATTTTCTTTTATAAAATCCATTTGACCAGGACCAGCTGTCACTTGCCACCATTTTTTTTTCTGGTTAGTGGGTTCCCTATAGTTAGAACATCAGGGCCAGAGAGCACTGTGTTGGCTCTCTTAGAAGTGGCAAACCAAACCTCTGAGTGCCCAACTCCTCAGAGCCAGGGAAGGTGGTGGATACAGAAAATATGGTGCTTATACAACTAGAAGACTTCTCTTGCTACCTACAACATCCTACATACTGAGTGGTTTCACCTTTCAAATTACCTGCATCTTGGAAGGAAGTCAGAATAGGGGCCTCCCCTCTGGCCTAGCTGGGGAAGGTCGGTATGGCCCCTGGGGCCAGAGTCTGATTATCATCACTACTTAACCTCCTTCCTCTGGGAGAAGTTGCTGAGTAATGGACAGCTAATTGGCATTTGCTTCACCAAATCATTTTCAGGAAGGAAAAATGACTATAAAAGCTTCATGCTATACATTTCACATGCACAAAGATTTTGGATTTTCTTCTCTTTTGGATTAGCTGTATCTCTATTTATCAATGCCAGGGGAGACCTAACATTTTGACAGAGGCAGTAGTAGTAACATTATGATCTCTGGAGATAGTTGGTTTAAATTCTGTTCTGCCACTTTCTAACTAGGTAACTGTGTATGTCAGTTTCCTCTTATCATGATAAAATGTATGTGGGAATCAGTAAGAGAGAAAGTTGATTTTGGCTTATGGTTTTAGTTAACAAGGTATTGTTTCTGCTGCTTTGGGTCTCTAGTGTGGTAGCTCATGGTGGTATAATAGATCTGTTCATTCCATGGCAGTTGTGGAGGTTTGAAAGAAAAGGATCCCCAGAGGGAATGGCGCTATTTGGAGGCGTGTCTTTGTTGGTGTAGGAGTGTGTCACTGTGAAGCTGGGCTTTGAAGTCTCACATATGCTCAAGCTTCACTCAGTGTGATACCAGACTACTTCCTGTTGCCTGCAAGATGGAGGACTTTTAGCTACTTCTTCAGCACCATGTCTGCCTGCACACAACCATGTCCCACCATGATGATAATGGACAAACCTCTGAACTATAAGTGAGCCACCCCAATGGAATGTTATCCTTTAAGAGTTGTCACAGTCATGGTGTTTCTTCACAGCAATAGAAACCCTAAGACATTGGTCAAGCAAAGGAAAACAGAAAGTGTTTCTATACTTCAAAGACACTCCTTCAAGGACCTACCTTCCACCAAGTACCTACTTCTAAATGTCCAACTGTATCTCAATAGAGTCAAGATACAAACTATAGCATTAAGAGTGAGCAAATAGCTTAAACTTTCTGTGCCTGTTTTCCTGTGTAAAAAATGGGACTGACCATAGTGTTAAGGTGAGGTTTAAAGATACCACATATACACAATACTTAGACTTGTGCCTAAACTGGAGGGAGATCTAAATTCGTATTAGTGATGGTCATCATAAGCTAGAGTCAATCTGCCCACCTCATTGTTAAGCAGCATCTACAAGCTCAGGTTTCTTGTGGGACTGAGAAAAGGGAAAATCAAAACCAGGCACTGAGAAGCAAAGCATGTAGAAGAGGAGGAAAGAAGCTGAAGGTTCTTGGACTTGCCAAGGCCCTTTCTGCTAGTCTTGAGATGCTCTTGAGTGCAAGCAGGCTGGCACTGTTGGCACTGTGACAGTGTGCAACTTGTCATGGCTTAATTTTTATTAGACTCGAGTTCACTGTTAAGTTCTTAAAAAGCAACTATTCAAACCAGTGGAGACATGGCCTTCCTTGGGCTAGAAGGTTGGGGGAGAAGAGTGCTGTGCTGGGTAGGGGTGGGCTTCCATCTCTGACCTAGAGAGTAAGATCATTGCAGAAGAAGTTGTCGTACACAC